ATGAAGAACCTGCAGTGGGACAAAATAGAAGGTACCATGAAATATGAAATATATATTAGACCATGATTTTGATTAGGATTGTATTTGTTAAATGACCACTTTAAGGCTATATGTGTTAAAATACAAACCTGAAGAATAGCATTTTTTCATGAATATCTGCTAACGTTCCCCCTTTGTCATATTACACCTGCAGCTAGGATAATATTAATATAAAGCTGAACTGTCCCGAGTGAGATTTTTGTGAAACTGGAGAGATAACTAGAAGTTAACCTCAAGCCATCAATTTATTTATTTATTTAATTAATTGTTTTTAGAACTCATTAGTTTAATTGTTTTCAGTTTACAATCCTTGCTTGGTGTGTAACTAAAAAGAAACGCTTTAATGTTAAAATAAATATGTTTCATCAGAACATAAAATACAAAAAAAATGTAAAAAAAAGTTAAAGGGACACTATAGTCACCAGAAAAACTAAAGCTTATTGAATTTGTTCTGTTGAGTAGAATCATTACCTTCAGGCTTTTTGCTGTAAACACTGACTTTTCAGAGAAAATGCAGTGTTTACATTACAGCCTAGTGATAACTTCACTGGCCACTCCTTAGATGGCTGTTAGAGATCCTTCCTGGGTCATGGCTGCCTAAAATGCATCCAAACATTCAGTATCTCCTCCCTCTGAATGCAGACACTGAACTTTCCTCATAGACATTTATTGATTCAATTCATCTCTATGAGGAGATGCTGACTGTCCAGGGCTGTGTTTGAATCGTGCTGGCTCTGCCTCTGATCTGCCTCTTTGTCAGTCTCAGCCAATCCTATGGGGAAGCATTGTGATTGGATCAGGCTACCACTTCTGCTGATGTCAGCAAGCAGTGGGCAGGTATAAACAAAACAGTGACAAAGCCATCAGCTTCAGGCTTGAATACATATAAGATTTTACTATTTTTAGGGAGGCATGAAGGCACCAGCAGGGACGTTTTAGCCATGAGGCAAACAAGGCATTTGCCTTGGGTGGCATTTTCCAGGGGGCGGCCAAAAAAGCCGTCCCCAAATGCCCAGGGCAAATGCCTTGTTAGCCTTGCGGCTAACAGTCCAGGCAGGCGGGCGGTCGGTCGGGTGGCTCTAGCGAGGGAGAACTTACCCCTGAGCTCTCTGCTCAGCTCCCTTGTGCGCCGCCAGCATCACTCTGCCGTGCGCGAGGGAGCTGAGCAGAGAGCTCAGGGGAAAGTGCTCCCTTGCCAGCGCCGCCCGACCGCCCAGCAGTCAAGCAGCCACTGGACCCCCAGGGAAAGGGAGAACACCTCCCAGCATTCCCAAAGGTAAGGAGGCTGGAGCGTTAAATTAAAAAAAAAGTGAGTGTGTTAATGTGAGTGAGTGTCTGTGTGTGTCTGTTAGTGTGTGTGTGTGTGTGTCTGTTAGTGTGTGTGTCTGACTGTGTGTGTCTGTTAGTGAGTGTGTGTGTGTCTGTGTCTGACTGTGTGTGTCTGTTAGTGAGTGAGTGTGTGTCTGTGTGTGTCTGTTAGTGAATGTGTGTTTGTCTGTAAGTGTGTGAATGTCTGTGAGTGAGTGTGTGTCTATTAGTGAGTGTGTGTGTCTGTTAGTGTGTGTGTGTGTGTGTGTCAGTGAGTGTGTGTTTCTGTTAGCTAGTGTATGCGTTTCTGTCAGTGAATGTGTGTGTGTGTATTTAGAAGGCGGGGCAGAGGGGAAGGGTTGGGTTGGCGCGCACAGGGGGGTCTGAGTTTTGTCCTGCCTAGGGCAGCACAAAACCCAATATACACCACTGGGGACTAGATGGTGCTTTTATCCCTATAGGGTTCCTTACCCTATAGTGCTCCTTTAAACTGTAACCTGTAACCGAGTGCTGGAACAGTCTCCTCACAGTGGATGCTCCACTCACAGTAAAATTCCCAGTCATGATGATGTCTGGCCCAATCAAATGCTAATCATAGTGAAGCATTGTAAACCTATGGTGCACACCATTCTCTGCCAAACCAATGTTTTACATTGAACTCATTGTTTCTCTGTTGGATGCTCTAGGAACCATCATCATCTTTGTTATACTTGTGAAGTAATAAAGTTAAACATGAAGACCTTAGGAGGACGCGCCTCTAGTGGCCTCTCTTGACAAACCTATTAATTATTTGGATTAATAATAGGTTGGTACACCAATGACACCTAGATATCTCTTTCCTCCGCTGACCTCTCCCCCTCTGCCCTACAACGTGTCACTGTTTGTCTTTCTTCAATTTCTGATTGGATGTCTTGGATTGGATGTCTTTCCGCACACTAAGGAGGCACATTTGGTGGCCCGTACAAGTAGGGCCACCCAATGTGCCTTTGTCAGCAGGGGCTCGGTCGAGCTCTGTGACCAGGCCCCTTGCTTATCAGCAGCATGGGAGGATGTGAGAGCTGCGAGTAATTTTCTCCCAAAGACCAGAGTCGTGTGGCATGGGGGAAGAGGCAGTTAGCATGGAGCCAGGCCGGGAGAGACAGGGCCCAGAGGAGGAGAAGGCAGGAGAGGAGGGGGTGCAGAGGGCAAGAGCCAGGCCCTAACTCCCAACATCCTCAGCCTGCGGACTGGACATAATGGAATCCACTCTCCAGCAGTTAAAAGGTAGGAAACTGGAGGGTTGCTATAAAAGTGTATATTTTTTACCTGCATGTGTATCTGTATGTCTGTCAGTGTGTGGGTATCTGTATGTCTATCAGTGTGTGTTTCTGTGTATCTTTATGTCTGTCAGTGTGTGTCTATGTGTGTATTTGTATGTCTGTCAGTGTGTGTCTGTAAGTCTGTCCATGTGTGTGTGCGTATGTGTGTATTTGTATGTCTGTCAGTGTGTATCTGGATGTATGTCAGTGTGTGGGTATCTGTATGTGTCAGTGTGTGTGTATCTGTATATCTGTTGGTGTGTGTCTATGTGTGCATCTGTATCTCTATCAGTTTGTGTCTGTATGTCTGTCCATGTGTGTATTTGTAAGTCTATCAGTGTGTATCTGTATGTCTGTCAAAGTGTGTGTCTTTGTATCTGTATGTCTGTCTGTGTATCTGTATGTCAGTGTGTGTATCTGTATGCCTGTCAGTGTGTTTATCTGTGTAGGTGTGTGTTTTTTTTAAATTAAATTTTACTTGGAAGGTGAAGCAATAAAAACTTAAAAATCTGTGGCCCGAAGAACTTTAGCCTAATACATTTTGGCCCCACCTTTGTAGTGTCAAACTCACTGCATATGAGTAAGTACAGCACTCCTGAAGAAATGTTGTGTGCTTGTATGACATTTCTGTGTAGATGTCAAGTGTACATCAAAGAACAGGCACAGCATCATGAGGCAATGAATTTGGCCTTAAAACAAGTGTCTGTAATGGGTTTTTTTTTCCACTTACATTCCAGCTTACATTTACTTACATTTGTACTTACAATCCAACAAGGAATTTCTTTTTAATGCTTTTTCCTAAAATGTTCCACCCTCTAAAAGGAATTATAAACACCTTAAGATAAAAGAACACTCCAAGCACCATAACTACTACAGCATGTTGTACTGGCTATGGTACCACAATTCCCTTGCATCCCTCAATGTGAGTAGTCAAACTGCCTCCTAATAGTTTTACTTTTTCCTGGGGCCTGCCAGGCGCTGTTCCCCAGGCGTTGATCCTGCTAAAAGCTTCCACTATTTCTGCCAATTAGTAAAAAGTTTGACTACTTACATTGGAGAAGTGTCAGTGCACTCCTGGTACCATAACCACTACAGAGCACTGTAGTGGTTCTGGCGCTAGGAGTGTTCCTTTAAGAACTTTCATAAAGGTAAGAAATCTATACGAGTCCAAGCCAAAATGTATTCTCCCCCCCCCTCCCAATTCCAGTAAGTACGAGTAAAAATAAACAAAAACAAAAACCTTATGAATAAATAAACACACACACACACACATAAATAAAAAATGGTTCTGGTAAGTGTCAGCATTGGAAGTTTAATGCATACGCGGATGTGTGTGTGTTTTGTTCATTTAAATGCATAGTAAGGTATAAAATACTTGAAAATAAAGATATATTATATGATATAACCAGTTTATAGGTTTGTAGAATGTCTTCAGTTACCTACATCTCAAATACTGCTAGACAGCCAGATTTATAAACTATGCTTTTACTGCCTCTAGATAAACTTGTTTTACACTGCAGTAAAATCCAAAGCTGCAACTTGCTTATTGCAAACAAAACAATGCCAGGCGGGAGTTAAATGGCACATAAACTACAAACCCCAGCGTGCATTGGAGAAATGTGAGCGGGTAGGAGGTATTTTTTGTGTAAATGAAGTCTGCTTGGGAGGGGCTGCAAATTCTTGTATGGAGCGTGGGGGATGGGATGGGTCTGTATTGTTAAGAAGTGACTCAGTGCTCCCTGCTTAAAAAAGCCTGCACTCTCGGAAGGGATCTAGCTCCAAGGCACATTGGAAAGGTGATCAGATCCTGCGTGAAACCTTCCTAGTCGGAAACTGTTTCGTTGGAAGAATCTGCTGGGGCTTTTGTTATTTTTATTTAGAGAGAACCCTTCAGTACTTCAGACGTGCATAAAGCGTTCCAACTTTTTCTGACTTGGATTTTTAAGGTGTTTCAGAGCTCCACATTTTTTTCCTATCAACTGAGACCAGATGGTTTAAATTAAGTCTTTTTACTTTTTTTTTTTTTTTCTCCCTCTTTGCCTTTTTTAACTTTCACCCAAGGAAGTTTTTTTTTGTTTTTGTATTTTTTTTTTTCTAAATATATATATTTATTTGTAGTGCCTCGAAAATTAATTTTGGCTACTATAATATGTATATACATTGCTTTTAGTTCATTTCGGACCGATCAGTCAATTGTGTGTGTATATATATATTTTTTTTTCCCAGTTTTGGTTTTAGTGTTTGTTAGTATCTGCTGTGGAAGAGACGCAAAGAGTTAAACTTTTTTTTTTTTTTTTTTAAAGAATTTATTTTATTCCAAACCACTTTTTTTTTTAATTTTTTTTATTTATTATTCTATCTACATTTGACAAAGGATACATACATATTGCACGTCTTCCGTGGAGAGGAAAACTATAAATCTATACATCCTAAGCAGGTAAAATATTTCCATTTTTAATTCACAAACGTACTTGCTATACCTTTCTTAAACCTACCATGTATTGGGTAGAATGTAAGTCCTATGTACTTTTTATTATTTTTTTTTAAATTAATATTAAGCAGATAAAGTTGAGGATGTTTTCTATTCCTTAAATGTGAATCCTAGACGAAGATGCAGTGTGCATGGTTTAGATTTTAAATTGTTTTTAGCCAATTGGTCTAGTGTTGTGTCCATGCTCTTTTACAATCAAACCGTTAATATGAATGTTTAGTAACATTTGTTTGACTTTGAATGTTCACCCACTATAAATGGTAAGAATACAGTTATGTCATATGGTGGATTCATAACCTAGCAATAAGTCATTGATGACAAATCTTAATCGATGATGAGGCCCTCCCTGCTCTTGCAAGTTTGCAAAGTGTGATATTGCTCCCATACTCCTTTTCTTTTCACGTCACTGTTTTCCTAGTTTCTAACTTATAAAAGGTGCTCTAGTCCAATTATAGCTGGCTGGGAACGGGTTTTTCTTCTTGCTGCCCGTGCGTTCCTTCAGAATATTGAGCCCCTTCTTATCCTAGAACTCAACAGATCCTCTTTTTGTGTGTGGTTCTTAGAGGGGGCTTTTAAACATGGCTGATGCAACTGGTTCACCTAACATTTGTAATCTCTGCCTCGTGTACTGGTAAACACTGAGACTGTGTACAAGCCATAGGATTTCACTTGACTCTGAATTTGCTAATTATTTTTTTTTTTTTCCCCAGTGGTCAGATTATTCTGTGGTTGAATGCTTTTAATGTTCTTGTTTGCATGTTTAACCTTTTTTAAATTTTATGTATGTGTGTTTTTGTGGTTTTTTTTTGTTTTTTTTTTTTCCTTTCAAATTCTGCTTGTCTACCATTAATGGATATGACTTGATGAATGCCATCTATTTTAAATATCAGTTGTAGGAAAGTTGATGGTGAAGTGTAACTCTGTATCTGACCAGCGGAAAACTTGATTTTGTGTTGATAGTTTGGATTACAAAGTGCATTTTAAGATTTAGGTCAAAATAGACAAATGATGAGGGGGGGAGGGGATTATCCAAGCCAGCTAAATTTTAAAACTTCACTGTTTTTGTAAATAAATACACCGTTGACATTTGTTGGAAGCCAGTCTCTCAGGATTCTTTTCTAAAACGAGCGTTTTAAGTGAATTTCATATTTAAGTCCAGAGTAGCTGAACTTACAGCTGACTTGGCTAATTTAGCCTTAAATTTGAAATTAACTTTGAATTTTTACTTTACTAAATAACCCTGTCAAATTATCAACACTTTTATTCAGTGTGTGTGTGTTCCGCCAGGTTAAAGTTAATGTTTATATGGACTATAATGTATTTTAAGTTGTTGGATACCTTTTTTTCAATTTAGCACAGACAGCCCATTGGAAATTTCCAAACCTGTGTGTTTGTCTTTATCTTTCACTGAGTGGTGATTGAAATGCCAGATTCAACTGTTATCTTTTACTCTCAAACAGCTGTGCATCACTATTTCACTGCAAGTCCGTAATCTAAAGCCAACATCTTGAATTTTCTAGCAGAAATTGTGAACAAATGGTGGTGTGAAATTCCTCTGGCTTTTTTTTTTATTTTTTTTTATTCTTTAACCCTCTGCATGACAGGGAGTAAGGCATATTCAGTCAAATCCCATTATATAATTAAATACATGGTATGCTATTGGTCACTAAGGGATTCAGTATGGCTGTCTTCTTACCATGATAGGGATGCTAGACCTGAAAAAGCAAGCTACAAATTTGGGGAATCAACAGAAGCATCTGCAGTGGTTAATAAAAGTAGATATTGGTTTAAATACACCCACTGTAAGAATGGTACAAAATGTCAAAGGTGTGATCCAAATAAACAAAGGTGCTGCAGTTACTTTATAATTATTACATTTTATATTATTTTTATAAAGCGCCAACAAATTCTGCAGCACTGAATTGTGTGTGTGTGTGTGTGTGTGTGTGTGTGTGTGTGTGTGTGTGTGTGTATATATATATATATATATATATATATATATATATATATATATATATATATATATATATATATATATATATATATATAATATTGTCCTGTAGGCACCAAAACTTGCCTTTATTTTCACATAGGTATGCGCACAGACTTGCTATAATACTGATGGGTGAACATACCTAAATATTATGTGTTGCTGGTACGCTCCATGTAGTGAGTGTGTGTGTGTGTATGTATATATAATGTGTGGTAGTCACTGGATGACAATATTCTCTACATGTATGCACATATTACTATGAGGTTCCACACCAATCCCTGCATTAGTATTTCTTTCCATGTTATTGGGTAGTTCTTATACCACTATAGTAACCCCAACCCCTGAATACTACATACTGGCTGAGAGGACATAGCAGGTTTTGTGTACATGTATATTTAAAGCCTTATCAAAGTCATTATCACTGAAGACCACTAAGTACTCATGCACTAAGAGTCCAAACTTTTGCTAAGTCCCAACATGCTTCTTGCCTGTACTTTACTCTTACTGATATGCACTTGTGTATTCTGCAGCCACTGGCAATTTAGAGTAGGTTCCCGTATAAATCTGTCAAATATGCGGCTTCTTTACTGTATTTGCTGGTGTATGGATCATATAAACTAATAATGGTGAATCCTAGAATTTGGTAACCTATGGCACCCCAGCTGCTCTGTACCAAGAATTCAACTGTCTAGGGAATTCTAGTTGGCATTAAGGGAGTTGCAGTACACAGTTTTACAAAATAAAACTTTGTCATCTGTAATGGATTCTTTCCTCCTCCTTATGCCTTTTACTGTAAACCCTACACACATCCAATACCAAGTTTTCTCAGCTCACAACTCATTTCCCACATTACTTGGTCTTTCTGTTTTGTGTTGCAAGTGACAATACATACGTCCTATGTCACTCTTCAAACTGCAGTGATAGTTCTATTTCACCAGGCTCGTCAGCGTGTACAAAGATTAGATCTATATATTCACTAGAATTAAATGTGAGGTCTTCGCAGGAACACACAAGCTCCTTGTGTTGCTGTTCGTGTCTTTACCTCCGGTCTCATCTTCACATGCATCCCCAAATTGTCGCATTTCCTTTGTACATCACTTCTCACCTCATTTGTCAATAACTCCTGTTTTTCTAACCTATTATCACATGTAAGTATACCTTTTATATATGCACCCCCCCCCAACATTTTATTGGAAATTTAAGCAGAATATCCGTAACAATAGGAGCTTTGAGGTCACATATCCAAACTCGCCAGATTGCCAATTCCATTTAAATAACATTAGAGCATCATACATTGAGTATCTAAAAGGAGTCTGCATTAGAGAGACCCTGAAAACTAGGTGCTATATATCAGGTAAAATAACAATATACCAATTCAAGTAAGATTGCAAAATACTGTCCGACAGGTTCAGTTCTGTGATAAAAGTGTATTATTTATTGTAGGGAAACTGTGTAGCATTGTTTTTGCATCATAACATTCGTCTATATATTTCTTCGCCCCAATACTCTAGTACTTTATTGTTATCCTTTCCTGGTCATACAAAGCTGTACAGCTGTTCTTTAGCGTGACAGCAAGATTTTCTCAATTCAACTTCCTCTTGGATTGGCTTAATCAAAATTGTCCCTTTTAAATTTTAGGCTCTCTGAGAGAGATTTAGCAAAGTGTTCTTTTCTAAAAAGTTGTTGTTTTTTTTTAAAGTACCAATCACCATGGATACCAGTTGAACTAGCAGGCACATTCCATTAGTGATTCCTCCCCATTTTTTGCATCACATTTTACAACTGAACACTTTGATAAATCTTCCCCAATGTGTTCTCTTCATATGTCACATGTTTATTTTCCCTATATCCAAAAGCAGTGGAATTGGACACAAATCAATACACCCTCCTATATAACTTAACTTATCCTTCTGGAGTTGTTAAAAATCCACTGACTTGAGTAATGGTACCAGTGTCTATAAACAATCGTACTGTTTGTTTACCAGGTCCAGAAAATATTTGATTAGTAGCTTGTTTTGAGCTGGAAACTCACCACCTTTAGTTCTTGCATGTTAACATTAGCCACCCTCACTCACACTTTATTCTTCACATAGGGATGGGGAATTGGAACAAGCAAATGTATTGCTTTGGGTTTTCTGTCTAACCCCATGGGCCATACTCAGCCGCCCAAGGTCACCTTATGGTTAATCATGCTGTGACTTTTGTTACCTGTCTACCTATTGTACAGTGCTGCAGAATAAGTTGGCACTTTACATGAATACTTTACTTTAAAGGATCACTATAGTGTCAGGAAAACAAAGTGGTTTTCCAGACACTATAGTGGCCTGAGGGTTCCTCCACCCTCAGGGCCCCCCTCCTGTGGCGCTGAAGGGGGTTAAAACCCCTTCAGCCACTTACCTTAACCACTTAAGGACCAAACTTCTGGAATAAAAGGGAATCATGACATGTCATGTGTCCTTAAGGGGTTAATCCAGCGCAGAGCTCCCTCGGCGCTGGTGACCTCTCCTCCCCGTTCTCAATGCTTTCCTATGGACGCTCTGCGCAAAGACAGCCACTAGAGGCTGGATTAACCCCAAATGTAAACATAGCAGTTTCTTTTAAACTGCTATATTTGCATCTGAAGGGTTAAAACCTGAAGGACCTGGCACCCAGACCACTTCATTGAGCTGAAGTGGTCTGGGTGACTATAGTGTCCCTTTTAAACGTGTGGCCCCGAGTCCAATAGCATGAAGGCTCTAGTTGTGTGTGTTGTGTGTGGTTTTTTTTTTTTGTTTGTTTTTTTGTCTTTGCACACTCAAAGGTTATCAGAGGTAGTAATGACAGACTTTGCTCAGCAACAGAAGAAAAAAAAGTTCTTGATAGTGTACAAAAGTGTGGATACAATGAGGTTATGTATAATTAACATAAAAACACTCCCTTTCATACTTGCACCATTTTTGTGTCATTTTCTTATGTATGACACCATTACACAGCCCTGTACAATTGGTGCCTTTTTCCCTGCCCTTGCGTGTTTTCTCTCTCTTCTTATGAATCTTTTGGATTTTGTTTTCTCTTATTCTGAATTTACAACTAATTACATGTTAAAATTTAAGCAAAATTATTGATATTTACAACTTGAAGGTAGACCTATGTCTCTCTCCTAAGAACTTGAAAGTTTTTACCTGTCTCAGGAAACCTGCCAATGACTAACAAAACGGTGCCTTTTCTGTTTTTTTTTTTAATACATCACTATGTAACATTTGTTCTGAGGTCTCACCACCTTTATGGAGGCATTTATTGCAGCTATCTGGATAGCCCACATGTAAGGTATTTATCGTATGGAGCCAAAGATGCCTAAGCATAACACCGCTCCGCCACTAATTAGTGTCGTGGTCAGCCAAGTCCTCTATGATGAAAACACAATTTGCTAATTGTATGAAAATCCTATCTAATTTATTACTAGGCTCAATAGACTTAATGTATACTGTAGTGGTTATGGTGCCAGAACTGCCCTGGCACCCCCCATTTGTAGGGAGTCAAACCATTCTTGGAGCAGTCTGACTTTTTTTACCTGGGGTTTGCCAGGTGCCGCTCACTTCTTTTACTTCATCAGTCAGAGGCCCCTAAGTGCTGGGTTAGCTTTTGGTTGAGTTTCAGCTGATTGCTCCTAGTGAAGCTGTAGATCGTGCCCGGTGGGCCCCATGTAAAAGTCAAACTATTTCATAGTTACATAGCTGAAAAGAGACTTGCGTCCATCAAGTTCAGCCTTCCTCACATTTGTTTTTTGCTGTTGATCCAAAAGAAGGCAAACCCAGTTTGAAGCACAATTTTGCAACAAGCTAGGAAAAAAATTCCTTCTTGACCCCAGAATGGCAGTCAGATTTATCCTTGGATCAAGCAGTTCAAAAAAGGTTTATTTAGCCTTGGATGGCAACAGGGCACTTCTGGAACCATAACCACCACAAAGTGCTTATGTTGCATGGCGTGTTTGTTTTAATGCTCACAGAAGAAATTGGTTATACAGAGTATAATATATGGACAGGTTTTCCTGCTGTGCTTTTAACAATTTTAATTATCTTATTTTACAATACAAATTGATATGATTAATCTTCCTATGCTTGTTGCTGGTGGGATGAAGGTGATTCAAGTAATAAACCAGAAGCAGTTAGATGCCTTTCAGTGCCTTAAGGACATGTGCTGCATAGTTTTCATCTATTTTGGGCAAGTGAAATATCTGACATCCGAACAAAAAATTGATTTGAGCGTGGTTTTAAAACTGGGATGATTTCCATATTTTTGTCTAAAAAGGCGTACCGATGGGGAAAACTCTGGGTTAAAGAATAAATCATTTATTTTCTAGCAAAGCCCATATTTCATAACCACTCTGCAAGAGATTTCTTTTGGTGTAGAAAAGACAGATGACCTCCTGGGTGAATTCTGGTAAGTTGGGTTGATGTCCAGCACCAATAAGATAGTAGTGACCATCTGTTTATAATGCTAACCTTTTGAAGTTATTGCCACTAGGACCAAACAGAAGGTTAGGTGTTAAAACTCCAGGCCACATGATTCAGGGCAGTAAACTGTTTTTACAGCTGTTTTAAGGGCCCCTGCAAATATTAGGTTTCCAGCTGCAGTGAAATAAAGCGGTCATCCATGTAACAGCTACATTTTTAATGTTGGAGTGTTTACAAAAAAATATAATACTCTTTCTTACCCCAAGTGTGGATGAAAACACCTTCCACCTGAAGTAAGTGGATAGTTGATACATTGCTAAATACAAACACCAGTCAAGCCGTAAGACTTGCTTTTCCCACAGAAATCTCACTACTGCAAAGGATTCTGGGTAGGCTTATGCAAATGAGATCAACAAAGTAGTGAGAGCAAGGTTAAATTTCTGTGGGAAAAGCAAGTCTTAGGGTTTGATTGCTGGGTGTATTTGTGTTTTTTTTTTTTTTGCGATGTATTTAAAAAAAAGTGTGTGTGTGTACCTACATATCCTATTGATTACGGACTGTAAACTAGCAACCCTACAATGTAAATGGAGCCATGACACACATGGATGGCTTTAGGGGTCTGTTAGCAACCATTTCTAATCAACTACTTGCTGAATAATTTCTTTCCCCAGGGGCCACAATCCAAGACTAGAATTATTGAGTGAATGGGTTATGGAAGTTGAATATTATGTGGAACGTCTTCAACTGGTTATGGCTTTTTTGTACACTTTTTTTATTTATTTTTTTTGTGACAGCTCAGAGTTTTAGAACTGAAGACTGGCTTATTGGATACCTAAATGATAGATTTTTATTTTATTTTTTGCTAGTGACTCTTGACCAGTATTTAACCCCTTAAGGACACGTGACATGTCATGATTCCCTTTTATTCCAGAAGTTTGGTCCTTAAGGGGTTAAATTAGATTTATTTATTTTTTTCTCCCTCTTCCTTCTTGCTCCATAAATTCCAGCAAAGAAAGAAGCATAGTTTATCAAAATGCCATAGGTTGGCATTTGTTCTTTATTTTTTTTTTATTTTTTTTCTTCTTCTTCTTGCTGCCCTTTTCCTGCTTAAAGGGACACTATAGTCACAAGAACTACTACAACTTTAATGTAATGGTTCTGGTGTCTTTCGCCTGTTTGAAATGGCGGTGTGTTTACACATTGCTGTCTAGGAACAGCTGTAGTGGCAGTCACTCAGACGTGCTTCCTAGGTGAGCATCTTCACACTCTGCATGGAAGCGCTGAACGTTCCTCAGAGATGCGTTGATTCAAGTGTGGGCAGACAGAGCCAGCCAAGACGAAACCTGAACTGCATTGGAATCTAAGCAGTAAAACACCTGTTTATGAGGGACATTGTGGGCTGGAACCTAAACTGTGGTGTTTGAACTATACTGTCATGAACGGTTTAGGTCACCAGCAGCCTCTCTACAATAAAAGGGTGAGTTTATTCATCTTTATTACCACAGCAGTCTCGCCGCAGCTGGTTCCGCCTCCATGGCTGAAATCATCATACTTGATGATCTCCGACAATCCAATGTTTTCTCTTTGAAAAGCATTGGGAGGCTATTGCTCATCGTGGCAATTTGCCGTGCTGCGCCAGTCAGCATCTGCTCATAGAAATGCATTGAATCAATGCATTTCTATAGGGAATGTTGCATGGAGGCACTGAATGCCAGTGCTGCACATTGTGCATCATTGACATAGGAAGCCCCTCTAATGGCCATTTGAGTGACTGCCACTATAGATGTTATTGGGCAGTAATGAAAACGCTGCCTGTTCTCTGAAAAGACCATGCTTACATTTTAGAGGGCTGCTGGGACAGGTTTTTGACACCAGAACAAATACATTATACTAACTATAGTGTCTCTAAAATCATGTTTGACTTTAAATCTATCTTGCTTGTACATTCTTCAAAAATTGGTCATCACCTGAATCACTGTATTTTGATTCCCATAAGGCTCAGTCATTTTAATGGCTCAGCTGATTGAGCGTAATGATTCATAGTCCACAGAATTTTGGCTACTTCTATACAGTCTGCTGGTTTGGTTTGCCACCAGCATGCTGATCAGTGACCTCATAGGGACTTCCTGTAGCACTGCAGATGCTACAAATGCAAGTAGAATGTGGAGTTTTAAACATCTGGTACTGGGACACAAGGGCCTCGCTAAGATTTGTAGCCGATGCTTAAATTCTCGTTAACAGTCTTGTATTTTTGTTATTTTCTGATCCTATTGTAAGCTCTAGTACTTCTATGACTGAAAATATATGAATTCTCTGGCTTTTGTGAATAGGAGTTGTTGGCTTAGGCTAGACGTCAATAAAAGTAATTGCAGGCATTCCTGCACAGATTGATATATTTAATGGTGATGTCTGAGGGAGACTGTGGGGACTGTCTGTGGATCTCCCATTTTTGTATCCTAGGACTTAATCCTGCCTTTATCAAGCATCATAGAGCCATTCTAATGGTTCACTTCCTGCAACTGGGGTTAGGCTTTTTAAATATATATAATATATATTTTTTTTTTTTTTATTCTTGTAAAAATCTATTTACAAGAATTTACAATTTTGAACATTAAATAATTGAATGAGACTATTGACGTTGGAGCCTTTTATGTGCAGAAAAAAAAAAAAATTCCCACAGAGATTTATCTACAATTTTCTAGAAATACATTATTTAAAATTGCTATAATGTGTTTTTTCATCGTGTGGTGCTTGATTATTTTTATATTTAAATATTTTTAGCATATGCCATCACAATCTAGTTCAGGCAAGGCACAGCCAGGTCACATACTGCACATGAAGAATTATTGAACATTTAAAGAGGTTTTCTAACCCATTTTAATAGTTCAGAGAATAATGCCCTATTGGCATAATTCTACATGTCCATTCCCCCAACCGGTGCCGACTTCCAATAAGTCTTCTTATAGAGAAGCCTTTAGAGAATTTTATTGGCTTAGGGCGCATGAAGGTGCACTGAGCTGGAAAGGGGAGGGTGGGTAACTTAAAAATAAAAGAAGGGTTTGGGAGGAAGTGGGTATTCCTTCAGGGTAGTAGGGGAGAGAAGAGGTTCTCCCCTGCAAGTGAGGTTAGGTCTGTCGGCTGCATGCAGTGAGCACTGGCAACAGATGTGTGCCTACCACCATGACCACATCAAAAAGCAGAAGTAGTCATGGTGGTTGGAAGAGCCTTTTTAATATCTCTCCTCTGTATGCTTTCTTTAAGACCGGTGCAAAGTACTGAGCTTATAACCATGATTGACACGGTACTAAGTTGGAGGCTTCTAGTTGTAGGATAACTTATTTTGTTAAATATTGAAGGCCTAACATCAAGTTGTTCAACAAATATATATTGTTCGGACACCTATGAGCCGTCTCACTGTATTTTATAACTTGACAGGAGGCTTCGTATTTGCATTAACTTTATTTACTAACTCCATAGCAGCAAAGAAAAAACTGTTAAAAGAAAGAACCATAGTGCGTCAGAGTGTATATAAGTCCAAGCATAACCAATCATTTCCTCTTTCTTTGCTGCTCCATCACAAGTCAGGTCAGAGTACTGATTTCTTAACTGTATTGTTATGCATGTTAGGATCTTATGCTAGATTTTGTTGTATGTAAAGACTTATTTCCTGGGGGTGGCAGGGGATTCCCTACTTGTTTAGTCACCTGGAGCGACTGCCATTGGATGGGCTAACCCCTTTTCCCCTCAGAACCACTCGGAGACGGCAGCATTCCCCTCTCCTCAAGTGGCTACGTTCGCCACTTTCCGCACTGGTTCCCCGCCCTGTTCGCACTGCCATCTTTGCGAACGGAGCGGGCTTCCAATTGAATTTGTGCACTTTGGAATGGACGCAGCTCACTGCGTTCGGCTATTTACGCCTGTTCGCGCTAATTGCACGAACAGTGCGACCGCGCATGGTTTCATGCCTTTCTGCACGAAAGGGCGGCTAACTGAAGCTTACCATTCGTGTAGATTGGCACGAAAGGACTGACTTCACAGTACCAGTTCATTCACGGTTTTCTCCACCTAGGGCGTCCACCTAACGCTTCACTTAACATTGCATTCGCGACTTTACCCGCTTTCGCAGGCTTTTTCCTGTCAGCCACGCAGGGTCTCTCGCGGTGGCCATTTTGTTGGTGAAGTTTAGTAGGAGTACAAATCACAGCAAGCTAAGGCTCTCATTTTGGACGAATTTCAAGCGGAATTGCAGAGGTGAAGTCTGAGTTGCACCTACACAAGTTGGTGTTATTACCCCTGGGGAGTGGGACTGCCAGTTAGGTATACCCTAGTAGCCTGGCAAGGGGAGAGCCCCCTTTGAAAACTTCCCTAAGCGCTGCCTAACGGAACCTGTCCAAGCAGTTTCCGATGATCTGGGTGAGCCCCAGTGTGAAAGAGCCACTGAGCGATTCATATTAATATGGCCAAAGGCCTGTTCAGGTCCCTCCCACACGGCCCCTCACCTCTAATACCTATACCTGTGCCTGTAAAATAGTTCCTGAACTATGGAGGACACAATTAATACAAGTGACCTTCAGACTATGATCAATGCAGCGGTAGCTGCGTCCTAAGAAAAGGCCGACTGGCAAACAACGCCAAAATAAGGAAGACTCGAATGACTCCTCTAAGGAGAAAGATCGCCCGGCACTGGAAGGACGAAGGGTCCAAAAAGGCCACCACTGAAGCACAGTAAGCATGCTGTCGACAGCTCCCACATATACAGGGGGGAGATCCTCGGATGAGGAAAACTATATGCCCCACTCCATTTTGGATGAGTGGCAGGCAGAGGCCTCCGAATCTGACGAAGGTGATTGGGGCTCCAACGCCTATGTTAAGGAGACCTTCCTGGGTGAGCACCAGTGTAAAGGAGAGGTGGAATCCTCTGCCACAGCCAACACGCAGGAACAAGAAATATTCCTGGACGCCACGGGGCAGAGAATGTTTGACCCCAGGAACATTTGGCACCCCCACTCTGGGGAATAGGGTCCCGTCTGAGCATCTACTCCGGTTTATGCATTTTTGGATACATAAACCACTGGAAAAATATATGCAAGAGGATGAGGGCGGAGTGCCCCAGACCTTCACTGCCAGACAAGGTGGCCTTTACGCCGGAGTTCGACCAGCTCATGCTGACGTTCATGGAGCAAGGAGGTCGCGATCCACGCATAGGGATCGAAAAGAGTTTTAAAGGAGCGCAGGACAAGCTCCTGGACACGATGGGGCCACTGGCCCGAGTGATGTACCTGGCGATCGAGGTCTACACCAGAGTGGACTTGTTTACAGCGGACATGGTGCGCGAATGGGCACATGATATCCGAGACTGGACCCAGAGGGGTTTCTGTTTTCTCAGAAATACCAATGCGGCCCTCTCAGCATAGCGGCGCCGCGCAGCACTTTTCTGTATAGACGCCAAACTGGCTGATCTGAGGGTAAAAGAACTGGGCGCACAGGGCAAACTCTTTGGCGAGGCCTTTTTTGAAAGAGCTGAATAAACATGTAACTGTATTTACCTCGCTGAACAGAGCCCGCACATCCATGCGCAAGGTCTTCCGAGGCAACCCCTCAAGAGGTGTGTGTGTGTGTGTGTGTGTGGGGTTTTCTTTTTTTTTTTTGTTTGTTTTTTTTGGTTTTTTTTTTTCAGGGCTGGTCGGCAGCGGGGCCGTGTCACCAGCCGATTCTGGCCATCAGGCCCTCGCCTGGGGGACACACAGCAATTGTTCCCGAAACAAGGTTGAGGACACCAGCTCTAGACAACACTACCCCTAGTGCCAAAGGAGCACAGACAGAGGACGTGGTGGTCGTGGACGTGCCTGCGCAAGATTCCCTGCAGGTAAGAGACCAACACTTATCAATGCCTCAACTAACTTTGTATGCAGGCCGTGTTTCTCTTTTTTTGACCATTATTGGGCAAATCTGTGGACAGACGCTTGGGTACTACAGACGGTCAAGGGGTACCACATCAAATTACAAACTCCCCCCGTACAGAGGCATCCTCTCAACCTCAGATGTTCACCTCATAGAAGTGTAGCTCCGCAAACTACTCATGAAGGGAGCTATACAACCCGTGCACGAACGAGGAGGCTTCTTCAGCAATATGTTCCTCGTCCTCAAGAAAACCGGAAATTTCAGGCCAGTGATCAACTTAAGGGAACTGAACACATGCAGGGCATACACTTACAGAGGGACCTCTTTCAGGAAAAGGATTGGTTTATGCGTGTAGACCTCAGACGCATACCTATCGATCCCACTCCACGAGGACAGCCGTCCCTTCCTTCGGTTCCTATGGAACGGCTTCCCATGGCAATTCACATGCCTCCCTTTTGGGCTGAGTTCCGCACCATGGTGCTTCACGAAAATGTTGAAACCAGTGATCACACACACTCACGGGATCAGATGCATCCATTTACCTGGACGATATTCTCTTATTCTGCAGAACAAGGGAATTGGCCATACAACACACTGAATGTACGGTACAATTATTAGAATCACTGAGCTTTGTTGTCAGCAGGGCCAAATCCGCAATGAACCCTGTACAAAAATTCCAATTCCTGGGCTTCGAGATACACTCCACCTCCCATCTACCAAGGAGATCCGCAGAGTACTCAAACTAGACTCCGCCAACTGGCACGGATTGTTGGACTACTGTCCTCAACAATACAAGCCATATTTCCGGGTCCTCTGCATTACTGTGCCGTGCAATGGTTCAAAGCTCGCTTCCTGTGGAGGAACCCCACGTACAACCAACTAGTCCCGCTGATGGACGAAGTACAACAAGAACTTGAATGGTGGCTCAACTGTTTGCAAGCCTGGAATGGTAGGATCATCTTCGGCAACCACCCGGACTTCATCCTGGAATCGGACATGAGTCGATGGGCTGAGGCGCCACGGATGGAGAAGCATCCACAGGAGGTACGTGGACAACCCAAGAACTCTCGATGCACATCAACTGCCTGGAGTTATTAGCAGGGTCATTTGCTATACGCAGCCTAACAAAAGGACAGTCCAGTTGTTGTATACTTCTACGGATGGACAACTTATCGACAGTACGATACATCAGTCACTTGGGAGGTACCCAATCACACACACTGGTGAATTTGACGAAGGAGATCTTCGATTATTGCATCCCGCGCAACATCACGTTACACGCAGAACACGTACCAGGGGAATCTAACCTTGCAGCAGATTGGTATTCCTGACACTGGAGAGACGCCAGCGACTGGCAACTAAACCCGCAGGTATTCGCCCACCTAAATGAACAGAAATGCCCTTTCCTACTGGATCTGTTTGCTTCACGCAACAACCACCAGGTACCACAGTTTTACAGCTGGTTCCCAGACCCAGAATGCCTGGCGGTAGACACTTTCACCCAACACTGGCCAATACAAGGGGCTTATGCCTTTCCCCCATTCACCATGATCGCGAGGGTTCTCCACCACATCCGGAGACGAGTAGTGAGACTAATCCTCCTGACGCCTCTCTGACCGAGCCAACCTTGGTTCCCAGACCTTCTCGAATTGTCTTACCAGAACCAGATTCTACTGCCGAACAACTACAACCTACTCAGGGTTCCAGCAGGGAACCCACACCCAATGCAGTTGGACGGTCGCCTAACCTTGGTGGCCTGGACTCTTTTCAGGGGAACATGGTGTACCAACGACTGTTTCAGATATCATGAATTTCCTCTCGTTTAACTTCGAGTAAGTCAAATCGTATCGCACCATCAATGTTCTGAGATCTGCTATCTCTGCAGCCCACGTGCCATCCCAGGGGAGAGCAGTCGGACAGGACCCTCTATGTCTACTACTACGTGGCATCAAACTAAGACGACCCCCAACGCTTAAGTACCAATATCTATTAGATGTGGTCCTCCATTTCCTGAGGGAATGGGACCCCTAATGAACTATTGTCTCTGAAACAACTGACGACCAAGTTCACTTTCCTATTGAACATTGTTTCATTCCGGGCGTTCGACAAAGACATTTTCTCCATAGACCCGGAGGGAGTCACATTCCAAATCTCACGACTGACTAAATCTGACTCTTCATCGGTGTTCTACCCATTCTTCAACTCAGACTCTCAACTTTTGTGTGGTTAAGACTCTGCGGGCATATGTGGCGGCAACAAACGTTGCGCCCACCAGCAGCACGACAACTATTGGTGTCATATGTTTACCCGCATGGTCCGGTTTCGACTACCACACTGGCCAGATGGATCAAATGGCTCCTCTCCCTAGCCGGCATAGACTTTGCCCTTGGAGTGCACTCCGTGCGAGGGGCAGCGGCATCATCAGCTTTCCTGGCAGGCGCATCGCTATCAGACATATTACAAATGGCGGACTGGTCCCGCGAATCAACGTTTTGGACTTTCTATTTTCGTCCAACGCCGCATTCGCTCTTCTACCGAAGCATTAAAATTGGAAATACGAAGCCTCCTGTCATGTTATAAAATTGAAGATTATGCTAGTACATTGTACTAATAATCTTAATTTTAATAATGACAAGAGGTGAGTATTCCCCTCCCCTTCATCTTGACGTTCCCACCTTAATGAAGGTAAGTTAAGGTTAACGGGTATCGATTGTCTCCAGTATTTAAAGTTGGGTACGGATACATATGTATGGGGGGGGAGGGCTGATCAGGATTTCTAATCTGTTAACACATAGCCTAATACAAAATACTAGAACGGCTTACAGTTACAAGTACACTGTACCAACTGCAATTGGCTAACTAATCCACAACCACCTTTTGACCAATGTGCTTATTGGTTAAGTAATGTGTACCACCCTAGATCAATGTGTCTATATATTTTATTAGCCGTGTGTAATAAAATGATGCTCGTTTGGAATAGATTGCGTTGTCGTAGTATGTGTTATTGAACATGCCTCTTCCCTGCGCTGCAGAAATCTGTGGACCAGCCCAATGGCAGTTTGGGGCTCTTGAGGACCCTGAGCTAATATTCACTTCAGATGTACCCAATATATTTGTAAGGTGATCATAAATAATACTTAAGGGGGAACTGGCACTTTCCAGGATTTTAAGACATTCTGTATGTGAGCTAGTCTATTATAGTGACGGTCTGGAAGGTGGTTACTTTAAGGTAGAAATAGCTCAGTCGCCAAGCTAGAATATACTTCTTAACCCTGTATAGATAAAAGAAAACCCACCCCCTATCTCTAGGTTTGTAAATACAAACTAAAAATCAAGCAGCCCAAGTTAACATGAGAGGTTGCACACTGATTGTAGTAAAAATATGCCTATACTATTTTGTATTACACTTTATGAAGCCCTCTTGACTGAGGGACGGTATGCTGTTGGCTGCACAAGAGTGGTTGTTGGCCAAATGAAGAGCACTTGCATGGAATTGGTTTGGTATAGTGTGTTGACTTGAGTTACCACTTATTACAGCGAATGAACGCTTGAATGAGAGCTTAAACTATACGTTGGAAGTCAGTCTGCTCATCCATGTGTAATGTTTTACCTCCTATGCCAATGGGGGGTGTGTGGTCCACCCCAGTGTGTTTAAAATAACATTCCTGTGTTGAGTGATGTCATATTCTGGCTCCTGGCATCACCACAGGAGGCGAGTGGGGAAGCAGTGAGCAACTGAAAGAACATCCGTGCTTCTTGGCACCTGCTACCTGACTCCACTCTCTCTGGTATATTTCAGCAGAGTAAGCAGGTGGCTACTTTGCTTTACTGAAAAAGAGCCTGCTTCGAGCACCCTAAGGTGTCCAGCCAGGCACCTTTTAATCTTCTTCAGTCTTGACTTGCCCAGATTACCCCTATAGGATATCTAATGGTTGTTGCTACCTGCTGCTCTTTACGTTTATCATGTTTTGGCAGTCCTTATAATGGCATATTGTGCACAGTGGGATTGTTTTCTTTTTAACCCCTTAAGGACACATGACGTGTGACATGTCATGATTCTCTTTTATTCCAGAAGTTTGGTCCATAAGGGGTTAAATATTCTCACCTGCAAATCCCTCCACAGTTGTATCCTAAACTATATGTTCTCTCTAATTACCTGTTTGGACAACAATCATCTGTCTTCTGTTAACATCCCATCTCCACTTCTTGCTTAAAGGGGCAGTCTAAGCACTAAAGCCACTACAACTTGTTGCAAGGAGTTGTTGTGGGTGCTGTGCCCAGGATTTGTTAAACCTTCTAGCCAACTCATCAGACTACTTTTAGTTTAAAGTTATGATTATTTTATTTTTTTTAGTCTCTCTGTAGCCCCGTTGACTTTCTCACGTTTCCGCTTGTATGTGTGGCTCTGCCGCATATATTGGTACCTAAAGAAACACTCAGAGCGCTGATGTGCTTATGGTGCCTGGAGGGCTCTGTGCCCCCTGGCCACTCATACAAGTTTTTACAGTGAGGGATGCAAGTACACTCCTGGGAAAATGACTAAGACTTAGTGAGGTGGTTGCTCATTCCATATGTTGAAGTTTTCATGGCTAATATATGTAGATTGCACTCCGTGAAAGAGGCCAACTGTGGTTGTTGAAAAAGGTTGTGCCTATGATGTGAACTCCATAAAATCCTCATGGCTTACATCAAGCTGTTAACAATGCCAGACAGTATTCCAACTGCATCATGGGCTGTGTTTTTGTCCAGAGAAAATGGAATCCCCTTGTGACTAATCTCCACTCAACGGACTATAATGGTATTAGGAGTATTAATGTAAAGTAAGCAATATAGCCTAGGGTAGTCTGTTGGGCTCGTAGAGACAAAGAGGAATACAAAACTAATAATATTGTGGAGATAAGATGATGTTAAAATGGTATCCTATGCCAAAAAAATTACAATTCCCCCCCTTATGACCTTTTTAGTAATACTCATGATCTATAACTTCCTGGCAAAGGAAGACTATTGTATTTTTAAAAGTTATTATTGATGTCTATTTCTTTGTCTCATCCTGTATGATTTTTAGCTAGTTAATATCCACTTTTTTCTTTTTCTTTTTTTTTAAAAGCTTGGTTAAATGGGTCTATACCGAGTGTATTTATTATATTTAATGTACTTTGTAATATTACAATTTTTTTTTGTTAAAATATTTTATAGCTATAATTGCTAAAAAACAAACAAAAAAAAAAACCTTACAATTTTAGTCTTAAAGAGCTGATTTGTAGAACAATCTTCATGTGTCTACCCTATTTTGTTTCCTCAGGAGCTGTGAGTTTTGGCTCACCCTGACACTGGAGGCCTCATGGATTCCTGTGGGCTGCACTAGCCAAGCAGGGATGTTCTCTAGAAGATCTTTGCTTCTCTGGGGTGTCCTGCTTGCTGCTGCTCTCTCAGCTGCCAGGCCCCCTTCCATTCTGCCAGACCAAGGTAAGCATATTTTTCTTTTCTTCTTAACTGGTCTTATTTTTTTAAGGTGTCCGTCATAACTTTACACCTATACCATGTCAAACATTTTAGTATTTTTATTTTTGGGAAGTTCATTATGTGTTGGCTGTTTAACATTCACACATTGAAATTATTCTGTTTTACAAGTCTTATCAGCAAAATAATTTATCCATTGATACTGTTGGTTTTTGTCCCAATTAATTTTTGAAGCATATATAATATAAATTCAACTAAATTAGTGGTGGTTATTTTTTTTAAGTGGGGGTGGGAGAGTAAGAAATCCTGTACTGGTCAAGGCCTGTGTGTGTGTGTGTGTGTGTGTGTGTATATTATTTTTCCCTCATATTATTTTTTTTTTTTTGAATTGCATTTCTGGGTGTTCTATGACCTTTTTCAAACCTTTGTACCTCCCTTCTGAGTAAATGTGGCAGGGAGGTGTCTGCCTTTTTAATCTACTGTCTTTAAGACTGATAAGAAATGATTTATCTTGACAATAATATAAATGCCTGCAAGGTAACTGCTTCCTTGGAGCCAACCCTTTTAGTGTCTCACTAATCTTTAACTCTGCTGCCAGTTTAATCTACTAGATGAGTGGTTAAAAGTGCGCTGCCAAATGTCCCAGGTAGTTTATCCTGTAAGTGTGTATACAGTTTTACATAAGGTGAGCTAAATACTACCTGAGCTCAAATGGTGTATAATTGAACAGGTTCCAAGCCCTAAGGCATGCACATTATCCAACACCAACTTCCTGTGTTTTTTTTGTTTGTTTTTTGTCCTGATGAAGGACTTGAATTTCTATAGCCGCAGGGTGTCTATACTCCACTTCTGGGTAAACAGATCACATACTTCTCTTGACAACCCTTCTGTACATGTACCAGAACACTGCCTCGGGTTACTGAACTTTTCTATACACCTAAACAGATAGGATTTCCGGCAACGGAGAACCCGTAGGGGCCTGAATAGAGAAAGCAAGGGTAATGTTGTAAAACGATGTTCTCATCTAGAAGAACTTACAATTATTCAGTATGAGTAGAAATGTGGAAATTGAGTATCATGGGATTGAAATGACACACCACACACATTTAGGTTACCATTGTGTCTATTCCTATTGTTATAATATTAACCAGTTCAGAAACAGTGTAGGTTGCTGTAGTTCATACTTTTGTGTCTGGCTTGCAGTGTTGTGTTCAGGAACCAATGTGCAGACATTAAAGGTGACTTTTTTATTTTTTTTATTTTCTGTATACCAGTCATTTTGACTACCCATCCCAAAAAAAAATGTCCATCATGGACTGCAAACATTACTTCCTACCTCAAACAAGAAGAATCTAGGAATGCTTTGTGTCTAGGCTTGTGAGTATTTGGGAGGGGAAAAGCAGTGTTCTGAAGAGGGTGAGGGGCAAGAATAACACTTTTGGAAAGGCATAAGGTCAGGGGCCAACTGGAAACAGCTGGGGCTCTTTTTTTTTTTTTTTTTTTTTTTTAAACTCCTTTTTGGTGGTGGTAAAGGGATCAAAAGGGAGAGGTTAATCCTTCATCTGAGGACTCACATCGTAACTAAACAGAATTGCAAATTTAAAGCACTCATCCATGCAACACCTTCCTGACCTTTACCAGCCAATTATTTCCCAAGGAAAGAGAAGTGGAACAGCTCTGCTTATTGTATCTGAAATCAAGTGGGGGGGGGGACGACGGCATTTATTGGTCTTCCGTTGTGGTCCTTAAGTGGTTGGGAATTATGTAACAATACTCCTGATAGCCAGCATATGTTGATCCAAAAAATAGGTGTCAGGAGTGGGCAATTCCACTCTGTATGCTTTCCACAGGAGATTTAGATTGTATTGCATCTGTGACATTGGGAAGAAAAAAGGTGATTTGGAAAATCCTGTTCGAAAGATAGACCCAAGTCTGTGTCATAATTAATAAGTAGTGCATAGGCTAGTTTCTTACCAGTAGAATACATATGTTAAAATTTGGCTTTTTTTTTTTTTTTTAACCAAGCACATACTGTAAGATATAAGGAAAAACTGTATCTGGGCTGGTAACATTTTTGAATACTGAAGGTGTGTGTTAAAGTCCTGTACATAAAACTACACAATATTAAATGGTTGCAAACACTTATAATTTTAATGCTAGCCAATGTAATAAAATGTTATAGTACGGGTTGACCATAACTCACTCCCCTCTGCCCTCTCCTCCCTCATTCTAAATTTCTTTAAAAAAACAATTCCTGAAAACTTGCTTTTCCAAGAAGGCATTTTAATTAAACAGTTACCATTTCTCTCTTCCACGACTCACTCCTTTTGCATCTTTCCTGCATCTGTGTCCTCTAAAAAAACAAAATATATAAAAACTTCATTGTAACCTCTCCCAGCAATAGCAACCTACTTACCTTTTACCTTTTGTGTCATTTTACCCCTCTCCCCTTAGAATGTTAAGCTGTTGGCTCAGAGGAGGGCACTTGCAATGTCTTCACTAAGAACCATAACTAGGGCTCACTGGAGGGTATGATATGGCTTACAGTGATGAATAACTTTTTAGACCTGCTTAGCAGCATAAGACTACACCTTAAGTCCTGCCATAACCATCAATCCCCCCCCTGCTAAATTTGTTAAGCAGTATATGAAGTAAACAAACTAAGCTAATTTTTAACTAATGACGCCATACAAAACCAAGATTCCACAGTTACATGCCCTGTAGGATCTGTGCTAATTACTTTAAGCCATGGCAAATGTTGTTTATCTATATCAAGGTGTTTTTCTCACTGAATGTGTTGTTTGCAGATCCCAGTTGCTATTTGCACTGCTAAATTCATTTAAGAAGTTCACATTACATAATAGACAAATATATTTATACTATTCATTCCTTCCTCTATAAATCTTGCCAACTTGAAATCTGAATGTTTGCCTTGTTTTTGTACTCTGCACATATTTGTAGTTGGGCTTTGAGGCCTAGATGTACATAAATTAATGAACCTTCCCCCAACCACTCTTCCACTGCAGACAAAAGCTGTTTACTTTTCTTTTGAGGTATTTCCTGGGTCAGGAGGGATAAAGGGTTTAAGTGTTTAATGAGAAAACACATCTTTTTATCTCTGGATTGTGGAAAATGACCGGTAAAATTGCTGTGAAAAGCTGCCTATGCCCTATTGGAGCACATTTATTTGGGAAGTATTTCTCATAAAGAAGTTTGTCGGGGGTTTATGCCATTTTTCATTTTTAGATTATTGTTATAATAAACAAGTTTGGTTCTGTGCAGTTGGGTCATATTGGGGAATCTGTAACAAACTGGTACTTGTATTTGCGTGGGCTTTATTTTTCAGGGGAGATTCTCTTTTAGATTGCATTCACTGGGTATAACTACTGTCATTTCTACTCAATAGCACAATATATTTGTAAAAATGTTTTGTACTGGTTTTCGAACTGTATTAACTCTACACATTTACTTAAACTCTAAACAGTATGGGAACCATATGCTCAAAAACTATACATCACTGCAATATTTTAAGATCCTTTTTTTTTTTTGTTTTTGTTTTGTCATGGACAGCAAAAGTTGTTTGGACCTTTTGATCAGGTGCAGTAGGGGGAGGGTGTGGCACAAATTGAATCACTGATCTGACTCTTAATAGCTACATTACCTCCATTCTAAGCGAAGTGTGGATGGGAGGTTAAAGGAACATTGTAACATTGGTCCGAATACAAACCTAAAGTTAGAGTAATCTAGGGGCTATTATATAGTCTCCCTAAATCTCAAGGTGGGGGAAACAAAAAGCTTTTTACTCACCTATCAATCACTCTGGAGCTGCCACTCTTACCTTGTCCGAGATCATCATTACTGGTGATCTTAGCCAATCCAATGCTTCCCCATTGGGAAGTGTTGGGGAGCTAGTGCACATGTTCAACAATCGTCTCATAATTGACTCAACGTCACTTTATGGGGAGAGTTTGGTGTGTTGCTCCTGCAAAAATTGCAGGACAACGCCAAGAAGCCTTTCTGGTGGCTGGCTCAGTGACCATCATTAGAGGTGGCTCTAGGCAGTAAAGTAAACCCCGCCTTTTCTTCGAAAAAGCAGTGTTTACACTGCGGAGTGAGGGGACAATCTTTGTCCCAGAATCACTGTAGTAGTAGTAGTAATTCTGGTGCTTAGTGTACCTTTTTTAAAGATCCCATTGATAAATCTCCTGATTGGTAAAACCTCTTCTTTGTACAGAGTAGCCTGTCTGCACTGGATGTACAAATGCTTATTTTATTTAAGGCATTTTTTTTTTCATTTTATTTATATGTACAATATAGTGCATAATTGTGTTTTTTAATAAAATGCAGGTTTTTTTTATTTTATTTGAATGAGGTTATGCTGGTACTTTTCAAAAAATGAGTTAAGTTTGATAGTATTTAAAAATACACTTGGCATACTGTTTGCTTTGATCAAACACACCAGGCAAAATATATATTGGTTAGACATTATTCAACTTGGCTATATTCCAGCCTTTGGCTGTGACACATGCTGCACTAATGCACAATTTATGAGAAAATTGATTCCCTGTTAGTGAGGTTTAAAGCATGTTACTGGACTGATTGTGTTTTGCTTTATTGCCGCATCCTATACATAGTTGAATCCTGAAACATTAGCCACCACTCAGGTTTTTGGGATTAGGGTACCTATGGGCTTATTTGTATGCTTCAGGAAGTAGAAGGAACACATTAAACTAGGCCCCATTGGCATTACTATGGAAACCAGCCAGTGCCTGCTGCTTGGAACCATTCACTCTCTTTTGTCTAAGTTAGGCTTTGTATAAGGCCTTTTATGGTATACCCTCCATCAGCTTAGATTAGTTTTGCATCCGCATGCCTCGCTCAATTTGCATTTGAAAGTGGATGTATCTCTCCCTCCCCTCCAAAAACTGTGTATGTATATATATTTATTTAGAGTGTGTGTGTGTGTGTGTGTGTGTGTGTGTAAAATACACAAGATCTCTCAAAATATAGGCATGGAAATGCACTTGTTACTTTTTTTTTTTCTTTTTTTTTTTTTTCTCCTGTACGGTTTATGAATCACGTTGGAATGAATGCATGCATTTGTCTAGTCTAAAAATAAGATGTCAGACTGTACAGTGTTTTTCATAATGCTTTCCTATGGACGCTGGCGTGCTCTCACTGTGAAAATCGGTGAGAAGCACGCAAGCGCCTCTAGTGGCTGTCAATGAGACGGCCACTAGAGGATTAGGGGGAGCTATGTTTATGAAAAAATGGGTTAACCCTAGCTGGACCTGGCACCCAGACCACTTCATTAAGCTGAAGTGGTCTGGGTGCCTAGAGTGGTCCTTTAAGCATCTAATTTGCATGTGGTTCAAAGAGACAAAGATTTAATTTCAAAGGAAGTCCTTTTTCCAGCCACTAAGAAATCTCCTGCAGCCTGATCACAGGAGCAAATCATCTTGGGATGTTACTTATATTTGTTTTGATTTTAGAATGGTAACTCTTGTATGAATGTGTATATATGTGTGTGTATATATGTATGTGTGTGTGTGTGTGTGTGTGTGTGTGTATATATATATATATATATATATATATATATATATATATATATATATATATGTGTGTGTGTGTGTGTGTGTATATATATATATATATATATATATATATATATATTTATAACAAGCCAAAGAAAAATCAGCACTCCCAGGATTTGTAAATAAGCCAAAAAATACTTTACTCCACAGGTCAACGTTTCAGCTCCTCTTGGGAGCTTTCATCATTTTTTAAATAATTGTTTATTATTTGATATATATCTAATGTTGAGAATTTGTCATGCTTTAGACTTTTCTAAATTGGGACTTCCAATCCAGGTTGTGCTGAATCGTCCCTGTATGATATGCCCTTTTCCTGTTTGGGGTATTTATTGGTACAATAAGGGACTTACCTGTGTCCTTTTGTTAGATGTTCTGTCCAATAGGGATTTTGGACATAGATGACTATATAGATTTATGGATTGGCATGGAGTTAATCTTGGATTCTAGGCACTGATTCACTTTAATTACTGATATTGTTTATTTTTGCTTTTCACGTGAATATATGCATGTGCACTTTATGATTAATTTTGGATAGATGTACAATTGACTATGAACTTGGCACATGATTAAGGATACATCCCTATGGATGTCTGAACATGAATATCACTATAATTATATACACATATTGGTAATGACATTACTGTCTATCTTTATAACACCTTGTTTAAGGTCTTTTCACAGTATGCTAATTATTAGTTCAGCATGTCATTAGTGGGTTATTTATAATTTTTATATGATATGGGACCGTTATTTGGATCCTAGCTATTGGTGTTGTCACTATTGTATCTATATAGAGGTGGATAGTACCATTACCCCTTGGTTTCGATTGTAGGATTTAGGGGCTTGCTCTGTATATGTGGTTTTTTTTCCCCTTTCTTTAGATTTCAGTATAGACACAGGTTACAGCTCTAATTTCTTCCTCGGTGGAGGACAGATGTAGAGACCGGAATATCTAAGTTAGATGCGCATGCGTCCGGTATTACTATGACTACGGACGACGCAGCCATTCAGGAAGTAACTGAGGAGATCGTGGTTAGACACAATGGCGTCCCGATCTCCATGGCAACGTAATGAACCTGGTGATGTCACGTATATCACGTGACGGCGTGAGCAGGAAGTGGGGAAATGCCGGGAATTGATAGCGTTTGAGCGGACGCCCGAGAGGAAGGGAGGTTCTCCATCAGCACACCTGGATTGTGAGTTTTAATTGGATTTATGTCCTTATTTAAGCTGTGTTGTTTTTCATTCATGTTTTGTATGCTGTCCTGATGAAAGCTCCCAAGAGTAGCTGAAACGTTGACCTGTGGAGTAAAGTATTTTTTGGCTTATTTACAAATCCTGGGAGTGCTGATTTTTCTTTGGCTTGTTATTTATTGTGCAATCGAGCACCGGGTTCTATTTCATGTTTGGTAGGAGTGCAAGGCTTTCTTTTGAGATTATATATATATATATATATATATATATATATATATATATATATATATATATATATATATATATATATATATATATATATATATATATATAGATAGATAGATAGATAGATATAGATATATATTTCCTTAAAGGTCAATCTTAACTAAAGTATTTTGTCATTGGTAAAATTATCAGTGTTAATCACGTATTCCTTTAAATCTTTTAAATCTTGCCTGCTAACAAACCATGCCATTGGTAATCACTTTCTCATTGTTAAATACTGCAGGAAGAGCTATTTTTATGGATTTGGTAATGCAGGTGTTAAAGACGAATACCAGTAAGTCTGGTGATGACTAGCACATGTGTCATCAAATCATTGATTAGATCTGTTGCTTTCCCTTTACGAACAACCTTTGTATTGCTAGTCTTTTTATACTGAACTTTAAAGTTATGGTTATCTTCCTACCACAAAGGTAGGTGAACATAAAGCCTATACATGGTACTTGTGAAGTGATCTCCAAGTGTATATGTTAAAGGAACATTTGGACCACCTTAAACACTTTATGCGATGTAATGCTTATGGTAGAGACACAGTGTGCTGTGCTGAGAGCACAGTAATAGAAATCTCTAATTTTTGGTGCGTCTGACGCAGGTAAAATTCTCGTTCCAGTCGATTCCCAAAAGCCTCTGTCTTTTGGACGGCTGAATAAACCAATTATACCTTCATGCCCTGCCGTGATCCCAATATAAGTAGTCAAATCGTTTTTAGAAAGGTTAACTTTTATTTGCCGGGTACCAATCTCTCGCCATTAGTCTTCAGAGAGCCAACATCTCACTGCCTGAGCAATGCCTAGAGGTGCAGGCCCTGGATCATTGGCTGAGAGCAATTTACCAACAAGCAGTGCTTTTCTCGGGGAACCTTACAGAAGCTCCTAATCTTCCAGCTCTCTGAAAGCTGTAGGTGAGCATTGCCTGCAGACCCTGTTAAGTCAAGCCATTTTAAAATGAGTGAACAACTTATAAGGAATATGGGGATCCAGAAGTGGTGTCAAGCTAAGATGCTCATCTGAAGACTGTATCTGCCTCACTGAATATGGCTGTAACAGCTCTGTGCAGCTGTGTCCATATTTTACTCATTACACAGTCCTACAAAATGTTCCTTATGGTTGGGCTTTTTATTTTATTTATTTTTTTTAAATAACATACGAATATTAACTTAGCAGTAAGGGTATAGTCAATACCTTGTTAAACACAGATCTGCAACTATTAGTCAAGTCATAAGAGCTTTCAAATTTGCAGTGATGTTACTACTGCAAGGGATTCTGGGTGGGAATATTCAAATTCGTTGAACAAAGCATCACTTGTGTTTTTTTTGTTTTTGTTTTTTTTCCCCCTCTTTATGCCATTTTAAACATGGATTCCTTAATGTTTGTTTGCTGTGAAGTTTTTCAGGCAAATTGATATGGTGTGGGGTGGGGTGGGGGGGGAGAAGAAGAAGAAAGTTATTGAAAACCCCTTCCACCTGAAGTCTGTGGATAGACAAGTAACATAGGTGTGTCTTTTTAAAATGTACCCCTATAGACTAGACTAGAATTAGGAATGCGTGTGTGGTGTGGCCAGGGGAGGTGCTGTTCTGAAAAACTTCAGGTGATTTAATTCAATGCTTTCCTATGGGGAGGCCTGTGTGTCTCTCGCCACACATTAGGTTCCCCCTAGTGATGACATTGGAGGAGGCAGGGACAAACCCAGCGCTAAGGTTCCTGGAATAAGGTAAATGGTTAAAAAGGGGTGTGGGTTTTTATTTTTTTACCCTTTGATAGCTGGAGGGGGGCTTGGGGCAGAATCCCTAGTGTTGAGCACACAATACACATCAAACCAATCCTCCTAAAAAAGGTCCCCTATTTTGAGCCCAAATCCCCCTGTCCCTCATTTCTATCCTAATGTCCCACTTCTCTAGGAACTCCAGATTGTTGGTGTGCGAGTGTATAGTAGAGCTTTATAAAGCTGTATTCCTGTATTTTTCCATTGCTTGGATATTTAATTTTGAATATTGGTAAGTTGCAATTTTTATTATTTTTCTTAATTTTCTATACTGACTTCTTTATTTCTGTATTTCATTGCCATGAGTTCTTTCTTTTTATTTTCCTTGCACCCTTTGCCCTGCTCTGTGAAGCAAGCAGCTGGGTTAAACATTATCAGAGGTGGGTAGGGTAAATGGTTCACAGGCTCTTGTTATGTATAATCTAGGTTAATGAAGTATTCTGGTGTTTAGTGATACAGAAATCCTCCTCTTAATAAACTGAAGTGATGGGAGGTTCATAAAGCGCAGCTGTGTTCTTCTAGAACAGGAGGTTTAGTTGGAATTAAAAGGAGCGTTTTCAAGTATATGTTAAGTTTGAGGTGTTGTAGGGGTTCATGGTTTTCACTTTCTCACAAATGGCAATGTTTACATTTTTCAGACTAGAGACCTGGTCGGTGCACCAAAACCACTGCATTAAGAGATGCAGGGATTTTTGGAGTTTAGTGTGTCGTTTAAAAAATGTTTTGTGTTTTTTTTTTTTTTGTTTGTTTTTTTTTTTAAATTGCAATACAGTTCTTTGGTGTCACTCTTTTTCACATTAAAGGATTAATGTGTAATTGCTAGAGGAGCCATAAGTCTGTCAACCATTGTCTCCCCCGCTTCGCTGAACTCCCCAGTCTGGATGGCTGTAGTATGGTAAACACACAGGTATGCAAACTCTTATGCACATATTCCATATGTACACGGTTTAATAAACTGCTGTAGCAAAAATCATGTCATCAGCATTTTGTCTAATATTTATAGTGGAGTACTGCTAAAAGGAATGTTGTGGAATGAAGTCTTTCATAAATCTTCATGTAGGCTTGCTTTATTTTGACACTTCAAATAGGGGCCTCTTAGTTGCTGGATAACTACTACAAACTCAGGAAAACCTTTTACAGTACACCTCGTCTATGCCATATTTCTCAACATTTTACAGAGAAGTACCCCTGAAGGCCCCGAAAAAATCTTAAGTACCCCTGCCTTGAGAAAGTAATTTCTATTGATTTTGAATTCCAAATGAAACTGAGAACAAGCCTGATTAAATGTAGTAAATAATATTTTTAAAATAAATAAAACATAATGTAAATATTATACATAATGTATGAATATTAATCTGAAGTAAAGTCACAAAATAAAAAAAATACACACATAACTTGTACACTGACACACAAACCTTCTCACAGACTGGCAAATTCTATATCTATCACACACTTTTTTACTAGATCACCAAGACTTGTACATGGTCTACTACAATCATAAAAATGAATCAACCTGCAGCAAAACCCTGTCGTGCGTTTTTTTTTTTTATCTTTGCTGTGTTCTGTCTTATTTGCCCCAGAGAGTTAAGGCAAACAGAAGTAGAGTTCTTCCATAGAGTTTTTCTTGGTCAAAATGTCACTGCTACACTGAAATGTGAGCAATTTATTAATCCATTAAGGACCATGTGTTAAACGGCTTTTTCAATCAAAGGTATAGGCTAGTGCAGAGATATGTAATCCCCCTCAACTCTTGTACAGTGATGTGTGTAATCTGCTCCTCTGCTTTGTTAATGTTCAAATCTTTTACCGTCCGTATCATTCTGGAAACGTCTAGTTCTGTAACTTTCTGATGATGTAGGGGGTGGAGGGAAGCAGGAGTGAAATTTTTCTCAACTCCTGCAAAAAGATCGCATGGCGAGCTGCTGTGAATCCATACAGCCCTTAAAACCTGTAAAATCAATCTGTGTTTGCGTTATCAGAGTTTGAAGAGGTTTCTGTTAGTCACTGTATCGGAGCCTTATTGTATACGTGGATATATTCAGGATTGCTAGAGGGGTTGCGTATGTGTGGAAAATATATAATAAAATTGAAATAAATTACAAGATGCATGTTTAAAGGAGCACAATAGTGCCAGGAAAACAAGTTTTACTGGCGCAATAGGGTCATTAGGTTCCCTCCACTGTCAGGGCCCCACTCCCGCTGGGCTTAATGGGTTAAAACTCCTTCAGCCACTTACCTTTCTCCAGCGCCGGTCTACCTCTGTGCTGGGAACTCTCCACCACCCGTCGACGTCAGATCCGAATGCGCGGCAAGAGCCGTGCGCACAGTCAAACAGCCCATAGGAAAGCATTATTTTCACAGTGAGAATTGCAGAAGCGGCTGTCTGGGAGACAGCCAATAGAGGGTGGATTAACCTTCAGTGTTAAAATAGCAATTTCTCTGAAACGGTTTTCAGCTTCAGGGTTAAAACTTAGAGGGACCTGGCACCCAGACCACTTCATTTGAGCTGAAGTGGTCTAGGTGCTTATAGTGGTCATTTAAGATATACACTGTGTCAATAACCTGAGGAGACCCTCAGGGTGGTATTATTTTGCAGTAATAGAGTATCGTTGGTGTTGGTATTAAGGTACTGTAAATATAAAGAGATAATGTTTAAAGTAGTGCTAGGGCTTATGTTTTGTGTAAGGATAATGATTGTAGAGATTAATGTGAAGTATTGGGCTGTAGTGGTTAAAGGACAACTATACTAATAGCCACATTGTGATATAAACATTCCAGTGCTGCCTGCAATTAGTGGAAATTAGTCCTGAGCGAGGGCTATTTCATCTGTCATTGTTAAAGTGGTAGCTGTTCAGGAGTGTAGCTCCCACTAATCTGAGGCAGATTGGGATTTGTATGTCCCATTTTTGTCTAATATTAGGGGACCCCATGACCACTTGAAACTGATCTGGGCAGTCTTATTTGTTCATTATTGTGAAGATAACGTTACTATCGGTGTACTACATTATTCTAAAGCTTTTATCTGCAGGATTTTCTTTTTTTTTTTTTCTTTTCATGACTGAGATGTTTTAAAATAATGTTCTCTATTGAACGAACTCCCAGAGGACCAATTGCATGCATTTGACTTCCTCTCTGATCCTTGTAGGACAAGAATGTCGAGTTTACTTCCTATTGCTTCACTCAGAGTGACAAGGGGAAGTTATTGAGCCACATTGGTTGGTGGTTAGAAGACGATATGAATGACCCCATATGTTTTTTTGTAAATAACATTTGGGCGCTTTTAAAAATGCAGCAAACGGCCATACTTCTCGTATAGTTGTTTTGACAGCCATTGGGAATTGTCAGAATCTCAAACCAGGAGTAGCACTTTTACAATGCCAACCACAAGTAATCAGGGCATTCACAGCTTGTTAAAGGAACACTATAGTCACTTAAATTACTTTAGCTAAATAAAGCAGTTTTAGTGTATAGATCATTCCCCTGCAACTTCACTGCTCAATTCACTGTCATTTAGGAGTTAAATCACTTTGTTTCTGTTTATGCAGCCCTAGCCACACCTCCCCTGGCTATGATTGACAGAGCCTGCATAAAAAAAAAAACTGGTTTCACTTTCAAACAGAAGTAATTTACCTTAAATAATTGTATCTCAATCTCTAAATTGAACTTTAATCACATACAGGAGGCTCTTGCAGGGTCTAGCAAGCTATTAACATAGCAGGGGATAAGAAAATCTTAATTAAACAGAACTTGCAATAAAGAAAGCCTAAATAGGGCTCTCTTTACAGGAAGTGTTTATGGAAGGCTGTGCAAGTCACATGCAGGGAGGTGTGACTAGGGTTCATAAACAAAGGGATTTAACTCCTAAATGGCAGAGGATTGAGCAGTGAGGCTGCAGGGGCATGTTCTATACACCAAAACTGCTTCATTAAGCTAAAGTTGTTCAGGTGACTATAGTGTCCCTTTAAATGTAAAATAAATAAATGTAGTCAAACAATTTTAAGAGCTGATCATGACCTTCGTTTCTAGGAGTTCTGTATTATCGGGGTGTTTTGAATGTGTAATAGACCTCCGCAGCAATAATACTCATTAAAGTGCCTTTAAACTGTAACTAACTTTAAGAATCTGTCTGTGTGGATGCACTGTTTTGTTCTAAATTGCATTTTAGTTGCATAAATTGTTAAGTCACTTAAAAATTGTTTGTCAGAACTTTCCCTTGTACTACTCCCATATAATACCCCTAAAATGAAAGTGAACCTCGTGATCCATTTGAAATACTAGAAGGTATGTGATTTGCATTGAGGGGCAGTTCAGGATGCACAGGGATTTGGAATAGCATGCAGATAACTCGTTATCCTCCCCACCCCAGTTTACTCCAAACTGTGTTACCACCACTTTTTATATCCTTTATTTAAAAACTGATCACTGACCTGGAATTTTTTTGCCCCAAGTTCTGGAAGTCTGTGTATTTGTGTCCCAGGGGACGCTGCGAATAATGAAGTATCCTTTAACATCTAAACAAAACTTGTTTGGATCAAGTGTGCACCTTCCTGTGGAGGATGCTTTTCCACCATTAAAACAACCCAGAGGGCAAAATATGTCAGCCTGTATACCTGCACATAAATGCATTTCTCTGTCTACGGACAACAAGTATCTCTGTAAAATAGTGAACGCTCACCATATTGAAACACTAGATTTATATATTCCAGTGCATATGCATGTATGTCCTAAAAAACCTACCCTAAACCAATCTGTGTCTGTGTTTTATTTTTTGCTTGCCATTTTTAGTTGGCCAAGCCACGAAATTATTTGTAATGCATTAAAAATGTGTATATTGTCTCATGAGGAGTATTTGCATCAAATCATCTGCAGCAGGGATAAGTGGCCAGTCCATGACATTAGATTTTTCAGTGAATGCAATCATCAAATGTGATTTGTCCATACTTGGGCTTTGTAGATTAGTAGTGTATTTAAAAAAAAAAAAAATTATAAAGAATTTGGAAGACCTTTTATCATTTCGTTAAATTGCCCTGTATTAATGGTTTGTTTTGTGTTTTGGTTTTCTATTGTAGACACTGCATATTTTCTTTTGTCTAATGACATAGTTGCTTAGCTCATAAATAGCTTGTATTTCGTATCATTGGATTTTTCCCCAGAGTTTACGCCTCACATTTGATATGACATGCCAGGGGCAGTTCTGAAATTAAATTCTACTTTGTCCATCTTGAAATCTGAGCTTAGCGCCATTATTTAAACGTGTCGCCCCAAGCAAATTTGAGCTCCTAAGTTTAATTTATCCTACAGATCTTCGGTCAGAAGGAGAAAACAAATTGATTTAATATTTGTGCATTGGTGTTCTATTAAAGAAAAGAAAAAGTGTATGTACACTGAGATACTCTAATAGCTTGTTGTCTTACTAAATAACACTGGTAATGACGTTGCCTAGTAACACATCACATTTTTAAATTTTTATATGAAATCTTTTTTTTTTTTCTTAAGAGAACAGCCCATTCAGGGGTAATAAAGAAAAGATCTATTTAAAGAGGCACTTTACTATGCTGTATCCTTCAGCCCCCTTATAAGTTAGATTTATATATGCAATAGCCATGGGGGAGCGGGACAAAGGCTATAAATGTTTGAGGGAAATTTTCTACTATGTGGTTACAGATTTTAAGAAAAGGGGGAAAAATGTTTTTGTGTTTTTTTTTTTTGTTTGTTTGTTTTTGTGTTGGTTCCCCACAAACCTTGGTAGGTATAAACATCTTTATATAGTGTGGTGTGTTATACTCATCTGTGTGAGACATCTCTTTCAAGAGCTTGCTTGAAATGGATGAGTGCACAACCAGTTGCCTCTAATTAAACACACACTCTTTTCCTATGTGCAAATCTTGCTTTTCATTTACTTTTACAACTGCAAACATAAGACTGTAATGCTTACACCAATGGTACCTTTCCACATAAGTTGTGTGTGTGTGTGTGTATAATAGAAAGTATTGGGAAGTGTATATACATTTTTGCAGACTGTGTGGTTTTTTTTTTATTTTTTTTTATTTTTTAATAAATTGAGGGGATGATGTATGTTGACCTAATAACGAGAAATGGAGAATTGTCACACGCACACACGCATATTTGGCTATGCTCCCCTGGAAAACTATCAGCCATGACTACAGCTAATTTATTACCCAGTGCTGTGGTGGAAGTAGTTGTAATGGCACAGGCAAGCAGTGATGCTCAAACATCTACGGACTAAAACACCTTATACTTAGCATACTTAGCATGGTTCCAAATGTAGAAGATGTACATGCAGTGACAGGTTTTATATACTGTTGCCTGTAAAGAATTCTTGACTTCTTTTTTCGGATTTCTTCTTCCTCCCCACCCCCAAATTAATACACTGCTGTGTGTGGTTTTAAGATCATAAAAATAAATGTCTCTGAGAATGAAAAGTAGCCAGTATTGGTGTGATGTATGTTTTTGTTATTTGTTTGTTTTTCAGTCTCTACAACAGTGGGAAAATGAAATAAAAATTAGAGATTATAGTGCCAGGAATGCCCTCCGGAGGAAGTAGTCAAACTGTTAAAGGGACACTAGAGGCACCCAGACCATTATATCTTAATTAAGTGGTCTGGAAGCCATGTTCCCCCATTTTAACCCTGCAAGTTAAAACTTTGTTGTTGTGCAATGTTTTCATTGCATGATTTAAAAACCTCTAGTGTAAAACTCTTTTTCAAATAGTTTCATAGACTATCTGACAGGCGCATCCCTGCATATTGCTGTACATGCGCACTAGCCTCCCAATGCTTTCTCAATGGTCTTGGCCAAGGAGGCAGAGCTTCTTTTTACTCCCAATAGGTTGGGGATGGGGATTTTAACGGTAATAAGGGCACTATAAAGTTAGGAATACACATTTGTATAGTGTTCCTTTTAAGAACACACTGCTGACAGAAACGTCTGGCTATTTAGGGCCACAGTCATCTGCGCACTAACACTCTCTCAGCTACCGTGTAGCTAACTGGAAGCTCATTGGCTTCTGGTGGCAGTGTGCACCAGCTAAGTTGTGAAACAACTCAATAGTTTGACTCCCTACTCTGTGAGAGTGCTAGATCCAGGCAAACCATGACAGCGGTTATAAGGTTTAGAGTGTTCATTTATTTTTTGGGCTTATTTCTGTGATGAATATTGTACTCCCAATCTTGTTGGTCTGACAGATGACCTCTGGTATATGTGTGGCTTTTTCCCTCCTTTTTTTTTCCTTTTAACTTCTTAACTATTTAACTGTACTTTGACTCTTCACTGTACTGTTGGACTCTGACCCCATGATGTATAAAACATTCAGGGGGTAAAGGTCTAATATTATAATCTTGTCTAATACCGGCTCTAGCAGACAATAACTATACCTGCTAAACTCTACTGTTAATCCACTACTCCTATAATTCATTGGATATCTACAAGTGGCTATAACTGACCTACGTTTATTATGTGTTTTATTTATATGTATGTTACATAGTTATGTTTTGCCTTTAAAACAACTGTTTCAGTGAATCAAATGAAATGTGCACACTCAGAAATGTTATTTATTTTTAATGTATTGGTTATTTGCCCATTAGTTTCTTTTGTTGCAACTATCTTCCAAATACTGGAGGGGTGGAGATTATTTGCTTGTGGCTGGCTGGTTGAATTCTCTGTATTGAAACTTATCTGGTTCATTTTGGTGGCAGTTTGATGAACTGTGGAGGATCGTAAAAGTATGTTTGTGGGTTGTTTTTTTTTGTTTTTTTAATTTATATTTTTTTTGTGTAGTGAACATACATAGTTTGTACTGAGAGTTTATCGGCGTTCAATTTTGTATAATGTGCATCTGGCTATAAATGGGTAGACAAAAAATGGAGTTCTGTGCATCAAGTAGGTAGTGCACACCCAGGTGCTACTGCAGTTTATTAGAGGACACAATATAAACAATAATTTTTATATAGTGTTTATATTGTGTCCACTAATAAACTGCAGTAGCACCTGGGTGTTTTTTTTTTTTTTTGTCTACCTGCTTGTTACACTGTTGGAACTACAATAATGAGACCCTGCAGCTCGGATTTAACTGTTCATTACTGTGTTCTTTATCTTTGATAATCGGTGGGCATCACTGATGCCTCTGCCTCATCCTATGCATAGTGATCTGGCTATAAATTGGGGGGGAGGGGGAGGAGAGGAAAAGATGTAATGATGGTGTTTGATAGACCTCAGCCACCAGTTCCTCCTGCTCTTTGACCTCTTAGTCCATATCTGTCACTCCGTTGGGTAGCACAATCCATTGTAAGCCAGAGCTGGCTATTTATGTCAGATTTCCAGAAAGGGCTCCTCATTCAATAACTAATTGACAAGGCTATGTTTGAGATGGAACAGGCTTTCCTATTTGTTTCTGCCTGTTCCACATGAATTTGCTCTTGCAAAGTGGCCCTTACACTTTATCTTTATGGACTCTGATAAGGGCAAGGGAAAGAAAACACCTGGATTTCTTCAAGGGGAGTGTTTGTCAAACACATGTAATTAATGTTTTACCATTACAATACAATGGTTAAATGTTTGCCGTTACTGTTTGACAGGCATGGTAGGACTGGGTTTTTTTTTATTTATTTTTTTTAAGAAAAATAAAAATTGCATAGTACCTTTTTTTATTTTATTTAGATTTATTTTATTAATTGCTATCCTGAATTCCTTCTGTTAAATATAGGACCTTGAGATGACTAGTTTTAGGGGTATTTTGTGTTTGGTGTTTTTGTTTTTATAGGTTTGTGCGGTGTGTGTGTGTGTGTGTGTGTGTGTGTTTGGTTTTATTTGCAGCATGAGAGCTAGCAACAAAATTTCCATTTTATTTAGTGTGTAAATATTGTAATGTCTGTATCTGATATATATTCTACATCTGAGTAAGAGCTGGAATCCTGTGAAATTTGTCAAGATGAAGGAAAGAAAATGTAATTTACTGCCTTTTGTAATTTCTTAAATATTATATATTTTGTCACAATGTAAATTGTTAGAATCTGCTTTTTCATTTTTGTGCTTGTGCACATGTTTCACGCCCCTGTGTGTGTGTGTGTGTCTCCCCGAATATTGAGTTGGTCCTTTGTGTTTTGTGTTTTTGGTTTTCTTTCCCCATCTCCCTCTTGTTGGCAATCAGCAATGGCACATAATCATCTCGAAGAGAAGAGAATTTGGCCACATTATTTGCAGTTGGCAAAGTGTTGTGTGTGTGTGTGTGTGGTTTTTTTTTTTTTGTGTGTGTGCTTAAAGTATCCCTTTTTATGATGTGCCACATTCAGGATACATTTCCCTTCAATATATATTAAAAATGTGTTGAAAAAAAAGTTTCTACTGCATGATTAAACCTTGTCAATTGGTTTCATTAGAAGTGTGTATGTGTGTGTGTGTATTTATTTCTAATTAACCCAATTGACAAGGTTTAATCCTGCAATACGCTATATTTATATTCTATTATACTCCCCTCCCCCAACAAACTGTGTAACCAAAAAAAAACTATCAAGAGTTAAAGAAAAATCCTTGTGCTCTTCCTTTAAAAGTAGACTGGATAAGGCTTCTCATACAATAATGAAGAATGATCCCTGTCTGGAAATTTGAGAACTTATGGAACATTGCAACCAAAAAAGTAATAGATTAGTGTTAAAGGAAATGCATTCAGGTACTCTAGATATTGAATTAGATAGGAAAGGTGGGCAGGGCTTCTGTTCTATTTTCCACCTTGTATGATAGGAGCATGTGCTATATGGAATTGATATTGTGATGTGTCCTTTCAGTGCTAACAAACTAATTACCACTCGTATTCTCTGCTTGGCTACTTGCCTGTAAAATATTGAGCTGTTCTTCACCCATGAAGCATCTGCCTCCTAGTATTTACTTTTTTTTTTTTTTTTTATCATCATCCTTGGTGACATTCCTTATTGTCCATGAAAGATTGACACAGGATGGAAACATTCCAAATGATATGTTGGCACCAACTATTTACAGATTATATGTTAGGGCTTTTTACCTAATGTACCTTTAACTCACCTGGCCTTGATAGGTTGAGCCATACCTTACAAAAGGTATCCTGCAATATTCTGTCATTTCAAGCCCCATTACAAATCATCTTGCATTGTGAAGAGAAGTGGATCTTATCTTACTAAAAGATTTCATGGTTTTTTTTTTTGTGAAGGACCAAGCTAAAATTCGTTTTAGCTTTGATTTATAATGGTCATTAAGAACTTTTTATTAACGGTCACTGTTCTAATGACCTATCCAAACCAGTATTATCCATCCTTTAAAAGCCACGACTTGGATTACATTTTATATTCCATAAATATTTTAAAAATTTTATTTTTATTTTTAATTCGGATTTTTATTTATTTTTATTTTTCTCTCAGTTGCCCCAGAATCCAAACCAGAAATGGAATCGTATTTGACCCGTCCCGGAGATGTGATAATTTTACAGTGCAGGCTTCGAGAGGATGTTCAGAGCATCAGCTGGGTGAAAAATGGTGATCAGCTTTTGGAGACTAACCACACGCTTATAACAGGGGAGGCAATCCAAATTCTCGACGCAAGGCTGGAGGACTCTGGGTTATATGCCTGTGTTACTAGCGGTCCATCTGGAACGGATACAGTTTTATTCAAAGTTAATGTATCAGGTTTGTAGATGTGTGGTGTTCATGTCCGGTATCACTTCAAATGGGCATTTTGTAGGTAGAGTAACCTCAACTGCTATGTTTATTTTAATTTGAGGTTTTATACTTTTGATCTATGTTCTGAAGCTTTCAAAAGCTAATAGCTAACTGGGCCAAAACTTTCCATTGCCTCTATTTTGATGTAGCCTTGAATGAAACATTCACTTTTAAAGGCCAACCCGTATGCACTCTGGTGGCTGTGTATTTGAGGAGAAGCTGGTAAACTTGTCAAGTGCGAACAATCTGAATGACACCAGTGAAATGATCCGCTGAATTAAGGGGTCAACAATGTGGTAAATCCATTGTAGGCTCTGTATAATACAATAGCAATGTGACCTACTGTGCCTCCATTTTTGGGTACAATGTATCCCAATTTTCAGTGATAACGAACGGATAGTTTGCTAAATACATGAGGTCTGTACTGATGAACAGTTTGACACCTGTTTTATAGCTGGAAGTAGTGATGTCCCGAACGGTTCGCCGCTGACTCATCATTGAGTAAACTTTGACCCTGTACCTCAGTCAGCAGACACATTCCAGCCAATCAGCAGCAGACCCTCCCTCCCAGACACTCCCACCTCCTGGACAGCATCCATTTTGAAGCTGCATTCTTAGTGAGCTGTCCAGGAGGAGGGAGGGTCTGCTGCTGATTGGCTGTAATGTGTCTGCTGACTGTGAGGTACAGGGTCAAAGTTTACTCAATGATGAGTTCGTGGCGAACTGCTCGGGACATCACTAGCTGGAAGGGAACACAATCCTTGTCACTTCATGAGTAATGTTAAAGTTAAGTAATACATTGTTTTGTTGTTTTAGTCAGTTTGGAAGACCTATTATCAACATATATCTTGAGGTTTCTGAAAGTATTTGTGGAATTATGTTTTTGGTCGCTGCATTCTAATCACACCATGTGTTTCTAGCCATCCATTTTATCTTGAAGAGGTTGTCACACACAATATATTTATTTTTATATGCTTTTATGGAATATATTCACATAAATAAGACCTATAACACATTAACAACACACCATTTACATAAAAGGTGACTAGATAAGATTAGAAAAAATAATCTATAAATTTAGATGTCCTTTGCATGGTCTGCTTTTATAAAGCATATTACACAGGAATTTTGTTTTCTTCACTTTGGTGCACTTTATTTTGTTTCCCCTCATTTATGAATTCCTTTCATAAGTCTACAAAATCTGTTAGTCAGAGAAAACGTTTCTTGTATTCCAACCCCCTTCCTGACTCTGTGCTCTCTGCTGTGCATGTGCTCTACTTCTTTATAACGGGAGGGCAAAACATTGTGTTTTGAGTACTATTATTATTATTATTATTACCATTTATATAGCGCCAACAGATTCCGTAGTGCTTTACAATATTATGGGGGGGCGGGGGGAAATTTAACTATAAACAGGACAATTACAAGAAAACTTACAGGAACGATAGGTTGAAGAGGACCCTGCTCAAACGTTCTATAGGACGATTGAGGGATTTCATTCAAATAAAGCAAGCCCATGCATGCATGTGGCCTCAGTTTATCCTTGATTGGAGGTAACACAGCATGTGCTTGTAATATAGGTTTGTGCATATGCAGTGTGTCCTGCAGGGCCTAGTTTCGCAACCTGTAGTGCACATACCTCAGCTGTTACTTGCCACAAAGGCAGAGGATACGTCAAGATGTGGGCAGCTGGGTTGTATGGAGACAAAGACATCAATGGAGCTTTATGATATTCCAGCACTGTTCCTTCACGTGCCCTGCAAGCTGTTTTGTCATTCCAGGCACGGCATCGCCAAACCACAGAAGGGAGCTGTGCTGGAATGGCATGAAAATTACACAAGCCCCACACTGGACCCCAGGGAAAGCATACACTCCAGCTCTTCTAAAGTTAGGCTGGGTGGACTTAAATAAAAGTACTAAAAAAACAATTTGTGTGTCTGTCAGTGATAGTGTGAAATCAGTGAATGTGTGTGTGCCAGTGTGCGTGCCAGTGTGCGTTACAGGAAAGGGCTAACACGAAGGAGTTATGCCACAGGTGGTGATGGGTGCCCTCCTCCAGCACATTATTGCAGTGCATTAAAGGGACACTATATAGTCACCAGTGCAACTACATGTATTCCTGACCCTATAGTGTTAACACGACCATCTAGCCCCTCATGCCTCCATAAATATAGTAAAAATCTTACTGTATTCAAGCCAGAAGCTGTAAATCTGCATGCTGTTATACTCCCGAATAACAAGCAGTCTGCTGACATGTGATGGCCTGATCCAATCACAGTGCTTTCCCATAGGGTTGGCTGAGACTGACAAGGAGGCAGATCAGGGGCAGAGCCAGCATGATTCAAACACAGCCCTGGCCAATCAGCATCTCCTCATAGAGATGAATTGAATCAATGAATCTCTATGAGGAAAGTTCAGTGTCTGCATGCAGTGGGGGGAGATACTGAATCACAGGATGCTCGTGCACAGCAGATCTGAGTGGATGGAGGCATATTATGCCTTCCTCAATTCCGAAGTTTCTTTTACTCTCTCTCCAATATGCACATATCCATAAGTGACTTGTTTCTGGGAAGTTACTACAGTCTATGTTCCTTGGAGTGGATATGGAATTGTTGACATGTCGCCTATGAAGCATCGTGGCACATGCTTACTAAAATCTAATTGGTGCAATTTTAAAGAGAATTCAGAAAGGGTATTTTTTTATTTTTTGTCCCCAAATAAAAAAAAAAATGGAGTTTGCAGAAAGCAAGACAACCCAGATTTGCTTCTATGTCTGCATTCTGAGCAAAACCACATTAAGACTCATTGAGGTCGTATAAATAGTAATTTGGGAGCAAATTTTTTAAAAGTGGAGTTATTGACATGGACAAAATCATAATTCATATATAAGCTCCATTAAGCCACCTATATAGTTACTCTACAAAATGTGTATCCCTGAAAGCACAATGCTATTTATACTGTGAAATTAAGAATGGTTTTCAGTTAGAGTAACCCTTACTGGCATGGTGCATCCCACTTCGTTAAATAAAGGAAAGCTCCCATGACGCCATTGATCATGTGTCTCCAGGATGCTATGCATGCTGACGGGCACCAAATATGCACGTAATTGACTTTAGCCAGCCTAAAACTCGTTCTGGGTTTGCTAATGATGCTGCTCATGTAGCTTCAAAGCACCACTTCAAATCACTGAACACATTATTTTTCTGGTCCCATTGGAACTTTTTTTTTTTTCTTCCCAGGTGTTCAATACCTCAAGAACTTTAAGGGTTTTTGTTGTGAATTGTGAGTTAGTGTGAGGCGATACTGTCCAATGTCCAGTTATTTCAAATAACTTGCAACGTGTGCATTGCTATTGGTTTTTGCAGGTTTCTTCTTGCATCTAGCTCCAGAGGCCATGAAGAAAGAGATCATGGAAATAGTTTAACAGCTGTTTGGCGCTATACTGTTGGCTTCCCATAATGCAGATGACCATCAGGATAGAACAAAGAGTTAAAATTATATTATGGGGTCTTGTATTTTTCTTATGCCTGTGTTTCCGTGATCAAATCCTTATTGAAACATGCCTGTATATGTCCTTTTCTCAGATGCTCTGCCTTCAGCTGAAGAAGACGATGACGATGATGACAATTCATCCTCCGAAGAAAAAGCTGCAGAAAGTTCCAAACCAAACCGTGAGTAGCCTGTATTGTGAATAAATAGTCTAACCACTCCAGAAAAGAAGGGCTTCCTTCATATAGTGATGGTCCATATTTAGCTCCACATCACCTGTTTAATATTAAAGGCCGGTCCCTGCCAGTGAAAAGTGTTCCCACAATATGCCACCTTGATTAAACTTCACTTTGGAAATGGTCTTCTCAGAATAATGAGCAAAGTTGGCTTTGCAACACCACAAAAAGAATCTTGCATTAAGGCCTGAACGTGTATATATTTGCATTTGTACAAATGCTTTCTTCTCTTGGACACATTACTTGGCATGATGGATGTGTATAGTCAAGGATTTTTAGATTTCTCATGGTCCGCTTATCCCACCTCTGCTATGGATTTTTGCATCTACTTCAAATGTACTATTAGCCTCCTATTGGCATCACTGACCAGTGCCCTGGTTGAGTCGCTTTCTCTAAGCAGAGACCTGGTTTTGCCATGTTAACTATTTTTATTTAATGGATTTAAACATGCTCCAAGGGATGTTCAAAGAGTGAACATGTTTGAGAGTGTGTGATTGTCTATCTGTAAATCTGAATGTTTAGAATAATGTTTAGAGAACGTGTTGGTAAGAGTGTCTGTCTGTCAGAGACAATATACTTACCAGAACCCACTAGAGGTTAATGTAGTTGCACTGGTGTCTATAGCATGTTCAGAAAAAAGGCAGTGTTTACATTGCTGCCTAGTAACACCTCTAGGTGCTGTCACTCAGACAGCCCCTCTGTGTGCTTCCTATCTCAGTGATGCACAGTGTGGAGCACTAACGTTCAGTGTCTCTATGCTCTGCGTGGAGATGCTTAACTCTTCCTATTTAGATGCATTGATTCAATGCATATTTATAAGGAGATGCTGATTGTTGCAGCTTGGTGTTTTGCTGCACATGCACAATGCCCTCCCAATACTTTTTATTTGGGAAAGCATCGGATCTTCAAAATTTATGAACTCCGTCGTGGAGGTGGGGCCAGCCACAAAAAGACCGCCATGCCGTGGGAGATAAGGTGAGTAAAATTACCTTTTATCACCACAGATACAGGTTCTAGACATGTATACATTTATTCCAGTACTATACTGTTAGGAATTCGTGTTTGTATTCGGAACACTGTATAGTGTTCCTTTCTGTGAATTTAAACTGAATTTGAGCCATTCGTTCAGACATAGTATCTCTTTAACACTAAACTGTCAATCTATCCAGATTGAACTCTCCCTTGGCAGTTGTCTAGCTTAGTTTTTATTTTATTTTATTTATTTTTTATTTTTTGAAGTGGTACTATAGACATTGTAATCTGTACATAGATTACAATGTCTATAGAGAGAGATTTTACAATTTTGACATTTCTATCCCAAAAATAAACCCCATACCTCTTTATTTAATATATAATTATTTTTTCCACAACTTGTAACTTTTTTTTACTTAAAACCCTAATATAAAGGACCTCATTTTGTGATCATCTTCTGTTCTAGCTTTGCTAAACTATTCTGATTATTTGTGTCAGAGGTGACCTAAAAGCAGTGCGTGGTTATTGTTGTAAATAAAGGTGGTTTGCTTAAAGGACCACTATAGTGCCCTGAGGGTGCCCCCACCCTCAGGGTCCCCCTCCCGCCCGGCTCTGGAAGGGGGAAAGGGGTAAAAACTTACCTTTTTCCAGCGCTGGGCGGGGAGCTCTCCTCCTCCGATGCTCCCCGTTGGCTGAATGCGCACGCGCAGCAATGAGACAGCCGCTAGAGGCTTTGGGGGAAGGCTTAACCCATTCGTAAACATAGCAGTTTCTCAAACTGCTATGTTTATAAAAGAATGGGTTAACCCTAGCTGGACCTGGCACCCAGACCACTTCATTAAGCTGAAGTGGTCTGGGTGCCTAGAGTGGTCCTTTAAGGCTATTATTTTAGCAGACTGTTAAGAATTCATGGCAAGCTGTTTCTATGCAGAGTTCTTCAACAGGTTCAAACCAGTATCTTGTGTAGCAGCCTCTCAAGGGCACAATGGCATACTCCTACAATGAAACTCTCCCTCCTTATATAATGTATGCATGTTCTCTCTTGAACATGATAGTTTAGGTTATATCTAGTGTACCTGTTTAATGTAGTGTGGTGTGCTGTCCTTTACTATTAAGACAGCCCTGTGACATGCATGTTCCAGTGCTGCCTGGGACTAGTGGGAATTAGAGTCCCTGGAGGCAGCTGCTGCTTAGGAGTATAGCCTGGACATGCATTTCATGGTTCTAAGCAAGATTTGGGGTTCCTGAGCTGCTCTCTTCCACAAAGTTGAAATCCTTAGCTTTGCGCTTATGTGCGTATGTCTTCCAGTTGTTGTTGAACTACGACCTCCAGAAAAGAAAATAGCAACTACTTGGAAAAGATTAATGGAAGTTGTATTTAGAAACCGTTGGAGGCTTAATATTACAGTACCAGTACCAATGCTTTGGGTTGGACTTTAGCTTCAGCACTATTCGAATGGGTGCATTATAGCAGATGTCTCTCGATCCGTTCAAAATGGTGGGACCACAACTACCATTATCCTTGGCTAATGCAGGTTTAAGTCTGTCTCACAGTAGTAGTAACAGCGTATTAGGATTGCTCTTTAGTATATTGTAGAGACTCCTTATGAGCTTTGTAATTTTATGTTGGTCTATCTTTGTCTGCTAAATGGTGGGCCTTTTACTCCCCAAATATACAGGGGTCCAGTAATACGGAAAAGCTTTGCAAACAATGGATTTGAAACCAGTACAGCTTGCATCTCTTGATTGTCGCCTCCCCCCAGCTCCTTAATTTCCCTTGTAAGAAAATGAGTTTAGACGGCACATACCTTAAATTCCTATGGGATTCCCTCAGCTTCATGCCATCCTAATTGAAAAAGGATTTGTTCCAGCACTTTTGAAATAAACCCTTTAAATGTTGATTTAGACCTGTATTCATGCAGTATGCATTGCATGCTCACATAGTAGAGGGTTGTGTGTGTGGAGTACTTCAGTAAATTAAACGTGTATTGGACAAAGTTTGTGTGTTTAATTTAAGTCTCTAAGAATGCATGCCATCTGTTTTGTACCCATATAAAGGTATCAAACTGCAGCAAGCTGATATTCCATTCTAAATGGAACTGTGTAGTTACTTATTAAAATTTAAAGTTGCCAATCCAGAACTTGCCACATTGTGATCTTTCTTATTTTGCAAATTATCTGATTAGAAGAGCTAGGTAAGGGGTACAAACATAAAGAACGGTGTCAATAGAACAGAAGAAAACCTGCTTTAATCTTTAACAGTCAATGGTATTTCATGCCATTACAACAATTTGGTGGTCATTCCTTCGCTAATGATTACTACACTTGGCAGTACACTTGTCAAATGTTCACATCTTTATTCTGCCAAGGTTGGTCACCAGTCTACTCTATGCCATTATGGGATGTCCTAGTTATTTTAGAAAAATGTGTCAGTGTTAATAGGAATTTTCCTTGTTCTTCATGAGCTTTAGGATGAGGTTATATTGTCAGTCAATGATCCTTCACTGGTTCATTTTCAGTATTGTGTATTTGAATGTTTTGTGTATCTGCCATTTTTTTAAATACATAAATAAGGAAACCAGTATACACTGTAGTGTAGTGAGAAGTGGCAACATACTGCTAATCTGTCCCTGCAGGAGTATTCTGGCCAGATTTGACCAGGGTGCATAATGTATGCCACTGGCGTAGTGTGCGTGCTACGTACAGATTTGATTAGTGTTATGGGTGCAAGGGCTCCGCACTCTGTATTATCTCTCCATTGGTAGTCTATTGGAGGAAAGCAGGAGATCTGCATTATATTACATGCAGCAAGCACAACAGATGCAATCAGACTCCTATTCTTTTCTGTTGAGAAATTTTAAACAAAAACTTGCAGAAAAGGAACTTTAAAGAACATCCTAGATGGGAGAAATATTTAATAATCTTAGACTGTCCATTGATCAGGCTGCTATCATGCCTTAGGATAGGAAACACAGACTCAAATTTCTAACATGTGTCAGAGATAGGGTGTTTAGATTTATATTTGAGAGAGGTGTGTGTGTGTGTATATATATTTTTATATTTATATATTATGTAAAAATTATGTAATACGAATTTTATCTTTTGTTTTTTTTTGTTTTACATCTACATCACTGAACTAATACGGCTACAATCTCTACTTGATAAAAAAAATAAAATTTTATTTTTCTTCAAAATTGCAGGTCCATTTTGGGCAAATCCAGAGAAGATGGAAAAGAAACTTCACGCTGTTCCTGCTGCCAAAACGGTAAAGTTCAGGTGTCCAGCAGGGGGCACTCCAACGCCAACACTTCGGTGGTTAAAAAATGGCAAAGAATTCAAACCTGATCACCGCATTGGAGGATACAAGGTGAAAGATTAAACCATAAATATAAAATGTTTTCTTGCATGCATCCTAGATTTGCTAATGCTCAGAAACCGTTCGTTGTATGACTACATTTAAAGATTGTGCTATAACAAAATCCCATCCATTACCTTAACTATCCCCTGGATTTTTATTTCTTGGCAACTTATTGTAGCGTTGGTGGGGTGATGGAAGTTTTGTGCTATGGCAATTGTACATGGGATTCAAAATTCTGTAAGTCACAGTTCTTCACTGCTCTTAAAACAGACATTTTATTTTGCCTCTCGTTGGTACAAAGAGTTAGAAGGACCATTTATGGGATATACCAGAACTGTGTGGCCTTCACAAGATTGCGTTATGTCCACACCCACACTACAGCTGTGAATAAGAAAAAGTGTGTATTTTATTCTATGCTGTATGCTAAAATAAGTTTTGTTGCCTACAGGGGTCCTTGCAGACTTTCACAAAGGTCTTGGAACCTTGAGACCTTTTCTGAAAATGGTTGAGGGGTGTGAGTTTGGTGCTGTCCCTCTGTCAACCTATTTTTTTAGGTATTTGGGCCTGGAAGGGTCCATTGCACCACAGTTGGATGCAACATTCTATCACAAGTCTTTCTCTCTGCCCTACCTCTTAGTGATGGCCTGACCTTCTCCTATCTTCTTTTCCTCCTTTTTCTTTGCATTTCTTTCTTTTTCTCTTGTCTTCTTGTAGGATACTACTCAATTTAATTTTATCACTTGTCCATTGATGCTGTGATCTTGTTTCTTGCATTTGAATGATAACCTGTTGGAAATGCTTTGTTGATGATGTGTATTTTGTTATACTGAATAAACGATGACCGGGACATGCGTATCCACAGCCTACTTTACCTTTCAGAAGGCAATAACTTCTCAATATGTTTCGATGTAAGCAGCTGTTGGTATATTTTTCCTGATAATTACATTCTGCTGTTCTGTTTCCTGACCTATCGAGTGATTTGGGCATATAATGCAGTCTTGAGGGAGGCAGGCTCAGTCATCAAAGTGGGCTACATTTTGCCCATGCCAGCAAGTTTGGCATTTTTAGCCACTTCTGTTATCCTCTCTGTTCTTAAGTGCAGATATTATTTCCTGGCTTGGTAATATCTCTTGAGGTTTGGCATTGTAACCGTTGGAGTTTGTGTGCGCGCTTAAATGTATAATCTGTATAGCAATATAGTTTATTAGAGCCATTTGTGCACATTCCTCTTGTGCAAAAACTGTCTTGTGATGCTCCACTAGACTTGCACTTTAATTAGGGGAGGTGCCAGGACATGAGATCACCTTGCGTGCCACTTCAGTCTTTGAAGTAGGACCATCCTTTCTCCATGCCCAGCATGCATGTTTTGAGCAGGTTCAGATGTGGACGCTCATTAATATCTCCCCCTGCTGATAGCTGAGCTTGTTTGGTGGCTTAACGAGCTGAAGGTAATTAGTGAGAGGGGGGGTTGAGGAGTGTTGGACCATAACTCTCCATCCTTCCATTTTCCGTCTTCTTGCATATCTCACGTTGCTTGTTTCGGTTTCCCATTAATGGCTGTGGCTCTATATTCTGTCCAATGCTTGTTGTGACTGCTTTTATTTAAGGCATCCCGGCTGGATGTGTCCTGTGCGTGTTTGTATCTGGATCCCCTACTCTGGTCCGAATTTATTCACAAGAAATCCCACTTTTAGTTTTATTAAATCTAGTTCCAAAATTCTTAATGTAGACTTTCAGTTTGTTTATGAGTTTAAGATCTTGAATTCTAAACCTCAACAGATAGTGTTTCTACTTTGTAGTTGTGTTGTGGTTCGTACCCCCTATCATGATACTTTGGTCCAACACTAATGCAAAACACAGAAACGCGCATGTTGATGTACTAGTCCCATACAAAGATTCTTCATCTTTATGATTTAACCATATCATTAAGCAGAACTATTGTGTTCCTGGTCTTTTTAATTAATGTTTTGCACATTAACAGGGGTAAAACCCTAATGATATATACTTTATTTCTCTAGGTCCGTTCTCAAACCTGGAGTCTTATTATGGATTCTGTCGTTCCATCTGATAAAGGAAATTACACCTGCATTGTTGAAAACAAGTTTGGGAGCATCAATCACACGTACCAGTTGGATGTTGTTGGTAAGGAGTCCTTAATATATGTAGAAGTGTAATCCTTAAATATACACTATATGATGTCTTCAGCTGTAAGTGTGTAGGAACAAAATTGCATGGATTTTATTTATACTTATAATTTGCGAATCCTCTCTTGACCTTTGGTGCAAATAAACCTGGTCTCCTGTGTCTACATTAAAATTAAAATGTTTGTCTTTATAGAATGACCTTTTTCCCTCAAAGCTCATTCATTCTACCTTGAAGATTTTTATTAAGCATTGTAAGGAGAGTAATGGACATCATCCTCTGGTTATTCTGGGAATGTGCTAATTGTAAAACTGCAGGTGTGCATTCGCATTTTCCAGCATTAGAACCAGTGGTGTATTTTGGATCTGTGCTGCCCTAGACATGACAGAATTTACATTTGCCCTACCATTTCCTGTCAATGCCACACCTCTTGATGTTAAAGACTCTCACACTTGGACTGATGAATACACTCTGATATGACACACAGACACGCACAGTCTGTCGCACACACGCACACGTTAGTGGGAGGGAGTGTTTGTCACAACTGGCGTTTCTTTAGTCCTGTTTTATCCCTACCCTAAATAAATGGTTTGTTGGTTTATTTTATCATATTCCAAGAGTATAAGTTAAGTGTGTACCAGGTTTTCAGATTTTTTTTTTTTTTTTTTTAAATGTTGCATTTGTATCTTGTGTATGGCTCCCAGACTTTCCTAATCATGTACAGCACGTTTGCACCCCCAAAAGCTACACAAAGCTACATAAAGGCTAAGGCAGTTACTTCCCTAAAGAGTGAACTGGTGTTGGTAAATCAAACGTTAAGAGATGCAGCAGCAATTTATGTGAGACTTTAAATGTTACAGATGACCGCACATCTCGTTTTGTTATAAACCACTAGCAGTAGAAACAAACAAAAAAAAAAATACTTTGATTCCAAGATTGGTTTCTGCATAAATGTGATTTGCGGTGTCTGAGTTAAGATGGAAAGAAATTGGGCACGTGTATGTTATGATAGGATTGTGATCCTTTCAAAGAAAAATTAGAACTTTTTTTTTTTTTGCCCTCGGTCTGGCAAATCTCAATTATCCCTCATTTCCTCAAATAAGTAGCCAATTCTTCTCTCAAATATTTCTTTGTGAACATCCGCCTTTAATTATCCTACATATTTTAGTTTACTTAACTTCCCCCATATTCACCTCACAGATCCTATTAAATTTCAGATATTTCCTGTACAGGGGCCGCATGAGGCCTTGCTTAAGGTGCTGAGTTTTATTTATTCTGTCATCTTAGTTCCCCCACCCAGTCCTTTTTAACAGTGTTTCAATTTTATTTTCTTCATTGACTGGAGGGGGAGGAGGGGCAGGCAAATGTATACTTAGTAATGGATAGGATATTTGGGATTCTGCTGATGTACCTACAATAGAGGACAAAACATAGTGCAAGTATTGCTACACACTATAAAACCATTGATGAAAAATATGCACTCACATATTCCAAAGAATATAAGCGTATTCAGGGTGCCTCCCCCTAAATATGAATGGGGGGGTTTATTCTCCTTTAATTCTCCCTCCTCAAGTGTTAGCCGATAGAGTATCCAGGTCAGCAAGAAGATCCAAACAATTGCAGCCAAAGGAATACTTGAAAGGCGATTTATTCACTTTTAAAATTCAAGAGGTGTATAAAAATACATAAAAACAATATAAGAAAGAGATGCTGGTCCTACGCGTTTCGTCCTTATACAAAAAGGACTTCCTCAGGGACCTCTTTCAGCACAAAATTCAATCACCAGAAATACAGAGAATAAAAAACAGCATCCTAAAAACGCTAACACATGTATAACCTTATATAGGGCTAATCCCTTACAGTCATTGGTGGAACAGTGGGTGTTTTCTCCTCTTTGACTCCTTATTCGTCCAAAATTCCTTGTCTCCAGCTGTGTTCGCTTGATCAGAATGAAAAAAGCCGGGCTCGTTCTAAAATTAGCCACTTCCGCATACGTCATACGTTACGTTCGCATCACGTGTTCCGTGATTGATCACATGATCCTTATGCGTTCCACATTCAGGAAGTAAAATGGACGTGCGTTCCACAGTGATAGCAGCTTGGAAAACATTGTATTTCTTTTGCCTACTAATTGTACATACATAACTGGAAACAGAAAAACTATTAGGAATCATATAAGAAGATTTGAAAAGTTATAATAATTGTCCTCTAACAATAAAATGCTAAATCCATTTTTACAATGAATGTGTAACAACTTCCTATCCAAGTTGACCATTCATGACATCTATCATAATGTGATCAAAAGTATATATATACATAACATTACAAAAAAATTTTTTATATATATAATGACAATTGTATATTAGTGATTCATATATTCATATGTTGACATTAATGTCTAATACATCAACATAGTGAGCAGACCTATTAAAGTGCATTGATCTTTTTAAAGTGATATAAGTGATATTATACTTATTCACAAATCTATATATATATATATACTAAGTGACTTGAGAATATTTATTTATTAATTATTTCATGCTCAAATACATATCCATATTGTGTAAACTAAATGATGAAAATTATTATTCATTAATTATTGCGTACTTAATTACATATCCATATTGTGTGAAACAAAAAATAAAAAATAATAATTGACCAACCATATACTCAATGTCATATCCGATTTAAATAAAGCGACATGAGTAGTATATGTTCAATTTTAAATATATCTTTATGCTTTTAACAATCAATTGAATCAAACGACAGTTAATTCAAAAAACAAACAATATCCATATCCACATTTAATCCCCTTGGGGCAAGGGTACGTAACCTATGAATCCAATATGATTCCCTTTGTGCCAATCGCTTTTCTTTATTACCCCCTCTCCAGTGGGGTTGAATTTGTTCTATCCCTATACAACGTAGCCCCTTCAAAGAAAAAAGGGGACAATTATTGCAGTGAAGGGGGACTGAATGGGTATCTAGTTTTTTCTTTATGTTGTTAATATGTTCCAAAAGTCTCACTTTTAGACATCTCTTTGTACGACCAACATATTGGCTGCCGCATGGGCACTGAAGCAAATACACAACGCAGTCCGAGCGGCAGCCAATCTCTGATTTAATAGAAAACGGTTTCCCTGTAACGGAGCTACTATATGATGTCACCTTATCTGTGTTTATTTGAAAACAGGCTTTACAACTTTTACAACCCCGGAAACCTTTTATCCCTTTTTTGATATTTTTAAATCCACTTTTTAGAGCATAACTAGGTGCTAATAAATTCTTGAGATTTTGTTTTTTCCTATAGATTATTTTCGGCCTTTTTGACAGATGCTCCCCCAAAATGGGGTCCTCTAACAATATTGGCCAATATTTCTGTAGACTTCTTTTAATTCTTGGATGATCCACACTATATTGTGTGAAAAAAGCTTGTTTGAAGTCTTCCCCCTTTTTCTTATTACTAGGGCCATCCATTAAAAACTCATTTCTACTCCTTTTAGACATCATCTGGATTTCCCTCCTAATTTTCTTCGGGTTGTAGCCTTTTTTAACTAGTTTATTGGCTACATGTTGAGCCTGTATCTGAAAATCCTTAGTATGGGAACAGTTCCTCCTCACTCGAGTAAGTTGTCCCTTAGTGATCCCCTTCAACCAAGGTTGATGGTGACAGCTACGTTTATGAACATAGTTGTTCCCATCTGTTGGTTTAAAGAAACATTTAGTTTTGATCTCACTTCCCTCACTAAAAAGGGTGAGATCCAAGAAATTTATTTCTCTACGATCCCATACTGGAGAAAACTTTAAATTGTACTCATTTTGATTTAGATAATTGACAAAAGTCTTAAATTCGGAGTCCGACCCCTTCCAAATAATAATCACGTCGTCTATATACCGCCGCCATAGGACCAGGTTCTCCACCCAGTCATGACCCAACCATACGCAGAGGTCTTCCCACCTGCGCATGTATATGTTGGCATAACTGGGGGCGAACCTGGTCCTATGGCGGTCCTATGGCGGCGGTTAATGTCAACATATGAATATATGAATCACTAATATACAATTGTCATTATATATATAAAAAAAAAATTTTTTGTAATGTTATGTATATATATACTTTTGATCACATTATGATAGATGTCATGAATGGTCAACTTGGATAGGAAGTTGTTACACATTCATTGTAAAAATGGATTTAGCGTTTTATTGTTAGAGGACAATTATTATAACTTTTCAAATCTTCTTATATGATTCCTAATAGTTTTTCTGTTTCCAGTTATGTATGTACAATTAGTAGGCAAAAGAAATACGATGTTTTCCAAGCTGCTATCACTGTGGAACGCACGTCCATTTTACTTCCTGAATGTGGAACGCATAAGGATCATGTGATCAATCACGGAACACGTGATGCGAACGTAACGTATGACGTATGCGGAAGTGGCCAATTTTAGAACGAGCCCGGCTTTTTTCATTCTGATCAAGCGAACACAGCTGGAGACAAGGAATTTTGGACGAATAAGGAGTCAAAGAGGAGAAAACACCCACTGTTCCACCAATGACTGTAAGGGATTAGCCCTATATAAGGTTATACATGTGTTAGCGTTTTTAGGATGCTGTTTTTTATTCTCTGTATTTCTGGTGACTGAATTTTGTGCTGAAAGAGGTCCCTGAGGAAGTCCTTTTTGTATAAGGACGAAACGCGTAGGACCAGCATCTTTCTTATATTGTTTTTATGTATTTTTATACACCTCTTGAATTTTAAAAGTGAATAAATCGCCTTTCAAGTATTCCTTTGGCTGCAATTGTTTGGATCTTCTTGCTGACCTGGATACTCTATCGGCTAACACTTGAGGAGGGAGAATTAAAGGAGAATAAACCCCCCCATTCATATTTAGGGGGAGGCACCCTGAATACGCTTATATTCTTTGGAATATGTGAGTGCATATTTTTCATCAATGGTTTTATAGTGTGTAGCAATACTTGCACTATGTTTTGTCCTCTATTGTAGGTACATCAGCAGAATCCCAAATATCCTATCCATTACATTGTTCTGCTATAAGGTTATTAGCTGGGAAATAACCTTGGGAAGCTGTGTACTTTTCAGTTAAGTTGTTGTGTTTTATCACTTTTCTCACGGGTGTCCGTGTTTTTGTTTAAATGTATACTTAGGCTGACTAATATTGTGCTTATGTTTGTCTACCATAAAATCGTATGAGTGAAGATATTTTAAATGAATTTCCTGGGGTGAATTACCCACCTCAGCATTTACTAATCTTGCGGGTCCTGCTGACACTATGGAAAGTGATTAAAGCAGCACTGGGCTCCTGGACCTGGTTGACAGGGCAAGTAGAAAGAGAACAATCAAATGATGCCCTGCACTTATACGTGGTGGAAGTGGTGACGGGTTTGAAATTGACCTAGCCTGTCTATACAAAAGTATTTAATGTGTTGTACATGCTGTGTAAAGCATGATGTTAAATGTGCTACCAATACATTTTAGGAGATTGCATCTATTTAGTGAGCAGTGTGTATTTTTGGAGTTTCAGTATTAACTGATGTCCTTGCAGCATGTGGCATCTGGTTAAAGTTAAGAGAGGTCATCTGTAACTGATTTGTAATATGTGTAAGGAAAGTCAATCTTTGTATCTGTGTGAGGAGTGTGACATGTATCTCTGACCTGACGAAGCAACACAGCATTGTCTTTAAAGTACATCTGCTGTCTGCAGCAATATTATTGTTGATATGGAGTGTGATATAAGGCTGCGGAGTTAGTGGGGATTTTTTCCTTTTAGAATTTAGGCTGTCTGGTGAAAAATAAATATGGGGTATAATTTGGAGGATGTGTGCTTATCTTCTAGTGAAACCCCAATGCCCTTCTCGTGATATAGAGAAGTACTTATTTTAGGCCTACTATGTATTAAGTGGACCACTCCCTCCTGCTCCATTCTGTGGTGGTAGAGCTGATGGATATATAGACACAAACCAATTAAATCAAAACACTTCTAGATGCATCAAAGAGAATAATGCTAATATTCCAGGAGGCTACAGCTGTTCGTGTGGCACATTTTAAAAACAGTCATTGCAATGTCCAAAATGAAACCTTTAAATCACAATCTTTAGGAGCAGAGGGGTTTTGTATATCGTATTAATGTTATTGATTGTCCTTTTAAAGTATGGTTCTTTCTTCTGTGTATTTCCCACTATGCTTGTTAGTATAAGAGGGAAGTGATTTGTGCACAATTAGTAAATCTTAAAGGGACAATGTAGACACTATAACAATTTCATCTCTTTGAATTGGTTATGGTGCCTGGAGTGCCCTGGCACTGTCGCTCCATTCAGTGTTGTATCATGCTCATATCCATACTCGTTCTTCCACAAAGACCATGTAGTTATGGTCGTTATGTCTTTTGTTCAAATGTCTCGAATGTCGCTATCATCTAACAAGAATTAGTACTCCCTACATACTATCTCCTTCCCACTTTGGATTTGGGGGGAAAAAACTCTATTGCTTGGATGCATGCAAAGTTTTGCTGGAATATTTGAATCGTTTTATTTCATTCTTGGCATGTTTTTGTTTTTCATGAAGAAGCCAAACTGTCCTTATCATCATCATCATCATCATCATCATCATCATCATCATCATCATCGTTGTTGCTATTTATATAGCGCCAGCTTATTCCGCAGCGCTTCACAAAAAGAGGGGAATTTACCAAATGAGACAATAAAATTTTTGTAACCGGAACAATAGGTAGTTGAGGATAAATACATTAAAGGACCACTCTAGGCACCCAGACCACTTCAGCTTAATGAAGTGGTCTGGGTGCCAGGTCCAGCTAGGGTTAACCCATTTTTTAATAAACATAGCAGTTTCAGAGAAACTATGTTTATTAATGAGTTAAGCCTTCCCCCAAAGCCTCTAGTGGCTGTCTCATTGACGGCCACTAGAGGCGCTTGCGTGCTTCTCACTGTGATTTTCACAGTGAGAGCACGCCAGCGTCCATAGGAAAGCATTGTAAATGCTTTCCTATGCGACCGGCTGAATGCGCGCGCAGCTCATGCCGCACGTACTCATTCAGCCGACGGGGCGGAACGGAGGAGGAGAGCTCCCCGCCCAGCGCTGGTAAAAGGGAAGTTTTTTACCCCTTTCCCCCTTCCAGAGCCGGGCGGGAGGGGGGACCCTGAGGGTGGGGGCACTCTCAGGGCACTATAGTGCCAGGAAAAAGAGTGTGTTTTCCTGGCACTATAGTGGTCCTTTATATAGTCAAATTGCAATTATTATCCGTTATGATTAATTATATACAATCTCAAGATTGAATTCAAATCTTTATTGAAGAACAAACCATTGAATCATATAAATAGGGAGGGGACAGCTTTAAAAATGCAAAATACAAAGCCTCCTGTTTTGTTAAAAAATTTTAGTTTATGCTAACGCAGTGTACCTATAATCTAGGTGAATTAAATTTGCATATGCCCACCCAGAATCCTTTGCGATAACATCACTGTACATTTGTGATTTCTGTGGGAAAAGAGTCTTATGGCTTGACTGGTGTGCAGAATTTTTGTTTAACATTGTATTAACTATCCACAGACTTCAGGTGGAAGGGGTTTTCGATCACAATTTTTCCCCCCCACCCTAACTGTGTTGGTTGTTGCTTCGAAGGTGAATTAAAGCTATTCTTCCTTTGACTACTTCCCTTCAGGGAGAACTCTACCTGATGATGATTAAGTTTATTTCACGATAGCGGTTACCACTCTGTTCTGGAGAAATGCAAGTTTTCATGCGCCAAATTTGTAGAGCATTCTGCAGGCATTATTGACTTGATCTTGGCCTTAAGATGCTGCAGGCATACATTTCCCTTTTTATTTTTTTTATTTTTTTGCAGTGGTTTGGTATGTTTGCCTGGGTTTATAGTGAGAATTGTTTTCTGTATAAGTTTATATAGCTAAAATATTTGAAAAAGAATTATAGGCTACAGGAAATTTGTATTTATTATAATTTGTGTGGAGCCTTCTCTAGCGTCATGAGTACACATGAAAAGGTTACTCAAGTTTACTGGAATAATGCTGCATACAATGGTTAAACACTTTACCCTCTCTCTCATATCACAAGTTGTTTGTGGGAAGTAATCCTTATTTTCTTAGTAGATGAGTTTGTGCACATTCCCTGTTTTATGGTTTGCTCTAAAAGTGCACAGCTTTCTGTGTATATAGTAGCTTGATTTTTATTGCTTATATCCAAATGACACTTTACATTCCAGTCATACCTGTGTAGGTGGGAGGTATGGGGGCAGATTGAATACACAATGCTACACTGCAGTCTAATAATTGTGGACCTAGTGTAATGGGCATTGTCTATATCCTAAACTCCATGTGCTGTGGTAATTGCATACATAGCACTCTGTAATTATTGACAAGTAATACTCTGTATACAGTGTAGCATATTAATGCTAGAAGGCTCAGTTTAATACAAGATAATTCTTTTTCTATCACATTTATATTTTCTGTTTTTCTTTGTATTTGTTTTTATATATTTAGCACATATTGCTCATAATCTTAGAGCAGGAAACAGTGAGTGCTGCAAAGGGTTGTTCACTAGTCCACCTTAACTACCATCAATACAAGGTCCAATCTACCATCGTTTTGCCAAATCTCTAGCATCAAAATGCAAAAAGTCACGCAGTGTGTCACATACCAAAATATAATTGTTTTATTGCCTTTAAATAAACTGGTCTTGTTCTCATCTCCCTCCTTCCCCCACAGAGCGCTCTCCGCACCGACCGATCCTACAAGCTGGACTCCCTGCAAATAAAACGGTCACAGTGGGCAGCAATGCAGATTTCTACTGCAAGGTTTACAGTGACCCCCAGCCTCATATTCAATGGCTCAAACATATTGAGATCAACGGAAGTAAAATTGCCTCTGATGGATATCCATATGTGGAGGTGCTCAAGGTAAATACTGAGAGTTGTACACTCCCTGTGTCAGTGCGTGTATATGTGTGCAGTGCCATTTACTGTTCTTCGTTTCCGTTAGTGGAAAGTGTAATCTTAGCCACAGTGCCCCTGTTTGGGATATTTCCTCTCAGGGCATAGGAAAAGAAAACAGATGCAGCTTATTGAGTCTGCTGAATGCTATTAAACATTATATGCATTATTTATTAACTAGCATGTTGCTAAATATAGGCCTGGTTAAGAACGCATCATAATAAGTAGACAAGCTACAATTTGCAGACCTGCACCAGGAAACAGAGATGGAAAGTTGACTGTTGGGCGCACGTTTTCTGCACTTACACTCAAAAATCTCAGACCAGGTTATGTTGACCAACAATTTGTCACTGCTTACTTTAAGGGAGGAGATAGGGGTGCAATTAAAATGTTAAATTATAGATTAAACGTAAATATGTAGTGTTTAGGAATAGGTAATCCGTTTCTGATATTTTTCAATGTAGTGAGGTTATTGAATTAAAATATACCTTTTTTTTTTTTTTTGGTTTTTTTATTTTATTTATTTTTTAAATGCAGTATGGTTTAAATTTTCATTTAATCGCTACCATTTAAAAGAAAAATAATAAAATGTTTTTAAAAATGTTTTTGGAGTTGGCACTTATGATCAATTTTGTTCTAACAAAAAGCAATGTGCAGGTGACCAAGAGCACAGTCTGGCAACTTGCCCAGGGTGTGCCAGGTATCGGTGACTTCCTTTGCTGTAGCGCTGCGCTAAGAAGACCGCGTAGAGCTTTACTCATTGGCTTGGAACACTTAGCCGATGCTCTCAGCCAATGAGCCAGCAATTATAGGGCTTGGTTTAGGGTGCTAATGGAAGCTACTTCTAAGCTCCAGTGGAAACGGTGACCGGTACTCTGCAGTCTCCAGGCAGGTTGTCAAACTGTTCACAAAGTGTGTGAGTACTTACTCTACCTTTAAAACTTTATTTTAATTTTTTTTTTTTTGGAGGGAAGGTGGGTGTGTTTGTTTGATGCAAGCCTTTATTGCAGATAATAGTTTCCTTTATAGTAATGCGCCTAAATGATCAATGTGCTGTTTACTAAATGAAGGTGTCTTGTTAATTGTTGCCGTGTTATCGGTTTGTTTCAGCATTCTGGGATTTATAGCTCAGACGCAGAAGTATTGACCCTGTACAATGTGACAGAGGCAGAGAGTGGGGAATACATTTGTAAAGTATCCAATTATATTGGTGAGGCCAATCAGTCTGCGTGGCTTACCGTCACCAGACCAGAAACAAAAGGTAAAAATCGGTGACACCTCCTGAAAAGAAAAATAATAATCCAGGGATTTGGGGAAAACTGCTCTCCAAGTTCTTGGAGAGCAAGTTATTTTTCTCCCTTTTTTGTCTGCTTTATTTCCATGGAAAAATACTCAATGTGTGAGGCCTGGTTTAGTTTTCACTCTCCTTTGTTTCTTATTTTTCCAATGTGTGTGTGTGCGCATATAAATGTACTAAATAAGTTGAGGTGAGCTCACTATATAACAAAGAACACTGGTTTATATGTAATTGAAATTTTGCAACTGTGAATAATCTACATACCTTTATCTCAGTAATTCTGAAAAATTGTTTCCACAGTTTTGTGGTCCCAGCTTGACATGCAAATGAGCACACACCGCATCATGTTTAAGCCTTTATCTCACATTTCTGCAGGTTCCTTTAGCAATGGTTGCATTGTTTTATAAACTTCCAAAAAGGCTGACCAGAAAGCAAGAGGATCAAAACTTTTTATTTTTTTTTTATTTTTTTTAAAGGTTGTGTTTTAAAACTGTGTTCCATTGTCAAGGGGAAATGTAGAAAGACAGGGTGAAGTCTGAAACATGATTGTCTGCTTATATGTATAGGACAGTTGAAGAAACTTGACTTCTTGGAACTATTGTGCCCATGATGGATTTTTCCCAATGTCCTACTAGATATGTAGGTGATGCACAACTAGTGTGTGTGTGTGCGCGTGCGTATCTGTTCTTTCAAAATATAACAAGTTCATATTTCTTCTAATGCAGTACATCTCACATACACGCACAGATTCCTCTTGATAGACAATAACAAAAAAGTGTTTTAAAAGAAAATATAGCTAAAACTCCCTACCATCCCAAGGCCAAATTCTCCTGCTATCAATCCTCCTCTTGATGTCAGTCCCCCTCGCCAGTTTGGATCAGATGTCAAGAAGGACATAGAGAGAACATAAGCAGCATAGTGGTAGGCCATGCCATTAGCTGCCAGTTGACATATTTGTGTATGTATGTATGTGTATGTATGTGTGTGTGTGTGTATATATATATATATATATATATGTGTGTGTGTGTGTACTAAAATAGTGTTTGGTGGCAAGGCATTACTATTTTTCTTTTTATTTTATTTTTTAAAATCCTTTAACATGCTAGATTTCTTTTCAAAATTAAACAAGGTTATCACACTTGGGTCTCATTTTTCCATGTGTCAATCTCAAGCATGTTTCATTGGGCAGGTGGTCTCGATTTTTTTGGTGACGGGTTTAACCATGGTAGCTTTTCTTTAGGTCCCTCTTGATGGAGAAGCCCTTCTCAAATCTTCTAACCAAGTTTCTTTCAGTGGTTTTCTCTCTGTTCTTGGTACCATTGGTTCCAGGGCAGAACCTGCCCATCTCTCCTCTGGTTCTCATGGCATTTTGCTTGTCCATTTCCCCTCTTCGATGCTGTTCTCTATAGACTGCAGGAGTCAACACCACCGACAAGGAGATGGAGGTTCTCCAACTGAGGAATGTTACTTTTGAGGATGCTGGGCAATATACCTGCTTGGCCGCTAATTCCATTGGGCTCTCTCATCATTCTGCATGGTTGACAGTTCTTGAAGGTATATATGGTTCTATACTGTGCTCTCTGGGTATTTTCATAATTATAGCATGCATTTCTAAAGCAAAGGATGGTAGCTATTTAAACATCTATCGATAAGGTAAAAATCTTGCGCTTATGATGCATTTTCATCAGTTCTTATCCTCTGCTTGATTGCAAATTCCTTCAAAAAATGTTGACCACCAGCTATTCAGGACTAGATCTGCTTGTAAGCTGCTATAGATCCATTAATGCAGCAAAAGCTTGTAGCTGACCTATATTATGAACTGAAAAAAAAAAAAAAGAATATATATATTTATTATATAGCCACAATTTAAACATCAATTTGATGTTTTATATTGCTACAATAAAGCTGTGTTTTTTAAATGGCATTTAAGTACTATATTAGTGCAGGTAACTAGTGTTTCCACATAAGTCTAACAAAGAAATTGATTGGTGGGTAATAAAGAACACCCGACCCTTAGCGAAGCACTATTGACCTTTTTGGGTTGCACTTTATGACTGATATAAATGTGCACAAATTGCACAGTATGGTACACGCAAGGCAATATAGGAAAATATTATCTGCTTATTTAGGGCAAGCAATAGAACCTCTTTCATTATGTAGTTCCCATTTTAATATTAGTTGACATCTCACTTGTTGCCTGGAGACGCAGTTTCTAATGTGCAGTGACACATGCCACTTGATATTGACCGTTTTTATTTGTGCTGCTGATTAATCCCATAAAATGAAATAGAAAATGAGGAAATTGTATGATTTTTCTCAAGTTGTCAGTCAGTTCTAGAACGTTGCTGTGGTTTTGCGGTCTCCCCCGGAAAGGACATAGTGGGTCATTTAAATATATATATATATATTTATTCATGTATTTTTAGCTGCTTTGTAGCCTGACTGGGCTGTTTATGTGCTCACATGTTGTCTGGAGCACAAGCCAATTGGTCACTTCTGTCAAAAGGGACTTTCAGGCAGTTTTCCAGTTTTCCAGTGTTAGCGATGTGAGCATAACTTCATAACTTTTAAGACTGAGTTATGAAGGACTAGTTTTGATACTCCTTTGATTACAATTGTAGTGACTGTTGATAACCCTGGCAGCTTGCATTGTTAGGTTTTACATTTAGAAGTATGTTTCTACATTTCCCTGTTTGGAAGTAATGGCATATTGGCCAACTCTCCTGAATCCCAGAAAGGATTCACTTGGGGAGATTAAAACAAAGTGAAGTTAAAAGGTTACTGTAAACTAAAATAGTCCAAGCTTATTATTTCTATTTGCATATTAGCTTTAGAAGTTTAGGCTAAGTAAGGCCTGTCATATAATATCTGGTGGTTTCACTATAGAATGGAGTTTTTCTTTGATGTTTAGGATTCAATATGCTGCATCCTGTGTCTGTGAAATGCATGAAGGAGTATAAACTCCAGAGGTTTAAGTTTTAAAGCCAATTCGATATTAAATTTTTATTTTGTATTGGGGCATTTACAGTAATACGTTGGGGTAATGTAATTTGAAAAAATTTGATTTGCAATGTAAAATATCTCTGGAAATGGCTTTATAAAGAAACCCTGGAACTTTATTTTATATTTTCTTTCTTTTGCTTCTTATCAACTTGCAGTGCATGGGAGATCTGTCCTTCTAGATAATATAATTTCACATTAAATCCTTTTTAACTCTCCCTGATAATTGCTGCTGTTACTTCTGCAATTATCTGAAATCTCTAACAATGTTTTCCTTGTGTTTTAATATATTTAAGGGTGGGATATTAAGCAGGAATGTATTGTGTATAATATTTTAGATGCTAAATATTTGGATGTTTTTGTTTCCTTCCCACACTTCAAACCCCATGCTCTATTTTCTTTATTTCGTGTGTGTGTGATAATTTTGGCTATTATATACACTTGCACTTTGATAATTTGATGACAACTCTGGGCCAAAAAACAAACCAACATAGAATCCAACTGAATGTTGGATTAAACCTCTGGAGAACTTTTTAAATTCTGCCCCAGAAATTTTAGTTTTTATGAAGTTACAAGTATCTGCTGTTTTTTGTTTGTGTGTTTTGCTTAGCTTTTTTGCCATGTGTTCATGAAATCCACTCAAGCCCCTGTCAGTATCCCTATTCTCTGACTATATATCCGTATAGAACAGTGGTTCTTAAGGCAGCCCTCCATTATTACCAAAAGTCCAGGATCCAATTCCATTTTCGCTGAGATTCACACTCTCCATGATGCATTCCTAAAACTCTCTAGTAAGTTAGTTGACTTGTGCATTTGGTGTTTGATAAATCACAATTCATTAAAAATGTGGGTGATCAGCAATTCATCTGAAATGCCATATTGCCTTAAATAAATAAACAAAAAAACACCCACAAATACAGCTAATTGACGAGCAGTTTCATGATTTGGAGTTAAAATTCGAATTATTTGTGGCAAATATCCAACAACACAAAAAATCAGCATGAGGGTACATCATGTGGTTGCCTCCCACTACATGCTAACCAGCTATCATGTTAAAAAAAAAAAAAAGAATAATGCACCTTATTCACCCATTCATCATGCTGCAAGTGGGGGCATGTCTGATAAACGGATAAGCAGCCAGTTGCTACTCGCTGCAATAAAAAAGCTAGCAACTGGGCAACTATCCCGGTCTAGTCGTTAAGGTCCTAGAGGGCTCATGAAAAACTGGGAGGACCTGGCACTGGCATCGGGCTTAATATGAAATATAGGAGATTGAACAGGTTATTGTACCTAGCCCACAGTTGGGGGGGGGGGCTCTAAAAAAAATTCCCAAGAGTAGATACTGACCTGTTGTCCCTTGCTGCCACTACCCACAGACCACAGGTGGGGAATATTATTTAATAATGATTAAACTGGGCATGGTCATCTCAGTGTCCACCCTCAAACCCCACCCGTAAACCGTGGGTGGGAGCTTATAAAGAAACGGTGGACATGCCTTTTTGTCCAAACATCCCCAACCCTTCACCCATGGGTGGTGGTTATTAATGTCAATGGAGAGGGCAGGGGGATGCTATGCCATTGTCTACCCACTCCAAATAAAAGCTTGGAACCATCCCCTCTCTCCTCCCAGTGACTAAAAATTCCCTAGACCCCCAACCACCCCCAATAAAAATTCTTGATACCACTCACCCTAATAAAAGGGTAACCGGACTACTAGTAAAAAAATTAAAACTGAACGTGAGGGGATCTATTAAAAAGAAATAACTCAAGCCCTACTGGGACTCTGGGACAGATTTCAAAGTGTGGAAGACCTTTTCCTTCATTCTGTGTAGAGGGCTGTGACTGGCTGATTTATAAGCCAACAAACCAATCCGAGCACTTGGGCAGGCAAGTCTTGTCCCTTTTAAAACTTGCATGGGAATTATTTTTTTTATTAGGATTTATTGGGGCACCATACACGATTACTATAATAGGGTAGTTAACTTGGTAGGGGGTGGTTTCCCCCTCTTTTGGGTGCTATAATATATTTAATACTAAACTAAAGAGTGCGAGCAGGAAATAATATTCTGTTTATGTGTAGCCGCAAAACCAAATTATCTCAGAAATGCCAAAAAATATTAGATTGTACTTGTGAGTCATTCCATTTTCGAATTAACAGGATTCTTGCCACGGTTCTGGACTTTTCCAAATTCTGGATAATGTGTCACAATAGGTGCATGTAGGTCCGCACACATAGATAACAAAAAAAATTGTGTATTCGAAAAGAGTGCACATTTATTGATAAAGTAATGCATATCAAAATGTCATGGTATCATGCTGTCACTGCAGCCCTCATAGATGCTAAATGTAGTACCGGCATATCACACCAAAACCTTGTAGGACACTCTGAGATGACACACATTTCCCAGCAAGAGAGGAAATGTTTAAACTTTTTTTTAAAGTGTTCGGAAAATATCAATCTGCCAGACGGGGGGGGAGAGCAACAAGAAGACTACCCTGAAAGCGTGTGAAAGCCCTGGACGTGTTTCGCACCTTCCTAGGTGATTTCTCAAGGAAGGTGCAAAACGCATCCAGGGTTTTCACACTCTTTTTCAGGGTAGTCTTCTGGATGGTCTCTCCCTTGTCTGGCAGTTGCAGGTAGTACGGCAAATTTGATATTTTCCGATCACTTATTTTTTTTCTTCTTGTTGGGAAATTTTGTCATCTCCGTATCCTACAATGTTTTGGTGTGATATAAGGAAAATTCTGCGTCCCCATGTAGAGCATGGAGACGCTGAACGGCAGAGTTGCTTACTGTGCAGCACCGAGCCAGCAAGCCCCTCCAGTGGCCACTTAGAGATGTACCTAGGGGCAATGTAATCACTGCCTTTTCTATGAAAAGACAGTGTTTGCATTAAAATGCCTGAACGCAATGATTATACTCACCAGAACAACGGCATTAAGCTGTAGTTGTTCTGGTGACTATAGGGTCCCTTTAAAGCAGTGCTAGGTCCCCCCCAGTATTTTACAGGTCCCATGGAATGGAGGCGTTTGTGAGAGATTGGGCAGCAATGCACAGTTCCTTTTTTTTTTTTTAAGACTTGTGCACAGCAAAAAACAATGTCATTACTGGCCTAGGTGATACTCAGTCTATTAATGGGGAAATTGGATATCCTGTGACAGTTTGTAATTCTTGAGGACCAGTTTGGGAAACACTGCTCAAACACACGCTTTCCTGCAAGTTTTATAATTAACCTTTTGTGTGCACGAGTACAGCAATGGATGATAAACCTGCACTTATGACGTCCCCATTACACCTGGAGATAATAATCTACTGCACTGGAGCCGCTTTTGTGTGTGCAATGCTGCTGACCATCGTGATTTTCAAGATGAAACACCCATCCAAGAAGTCGGATTTCAACAGTCAACTGGCTGTACACAAGCTGGCAAAGAGCATCCCACTGCGCAGACAGGTAACAGAAAGTATATAGGGGGTTTACAAACCTATACTTCTATAAGATAGGAAAATAGTAGTGGAGTTTTAACATGCATATGGGCTCTGGAGCTTACAATATTTTGTGCAATTTTTAGATTCATGGAAAAGCCTTGTGTATGCAACTATTATTTTATTATATTTGTTAAATGAGAATGAGGCCCTTCTGATTTGCCTGGAAAATTTTTTTTTCAAAGCGGGAATTGTATGAGCAACAACTGGGTTTATAAATGAGTATGCCCCTGGATCCTTCTAGATTACCTTCATCACATGGGGGTATTTTTGCAAATATTTATTTTGGAACTTTGTCATGCCTGTAACATTTAGTCTCTATGCTAAAGAAGCACTGATCAATTCCCATGTTTCATTTTGGGAGACAGCATTGCAATAATTTTTTTTTTTTTTTTTTTTTAAGTTTGCAGTAGTACTGTGTACACCCTCCCTTTTTGGAGGATTCACTGCTAGTATGCATAGAGAGTGATTAATAACACTACAGATAGTAAATATTTTCAAGCTCCTACTGTAGAAACTTGGGGTGCATTAACAATTTACCACATTTTCTTATATTTTTTTGATAAGATGTAAGATTTAATTTCTGAATTCAAAAACCACCACTTAAAGGGAAACTATAGTGCTCTCGCTCACCCCAAGCACCGATGTTCTTCGGCGCTGGCTCGCGTCCAGCTTCACTTGTCCCCTGCCGACATCAGGTGGAGACCTAATGCGCATGCACGGCAATGGCTGTGCTCACACTAGGATTTCCCCATAGTAAAGAATTATTCAATGCTTTCCTATATAATAGAGTGAGGACATCCAGCTTTATTTAGGTGACCAAAAGTCGCCTAACCACGCCAAAATTCCACGAAGTGGAGCTAACCCTAGCAGGAAATTATTGCAGTTTATTTAAAACAAATTCAATAATTGTCTACTCAGGCTTAAGGGTGCTGGGACACTGCACCCAGTCCCCTTCAATGAACTGAGTGCCTATAGTGTCCCTTTAAGGTGTGTCAAGAGATTCTAAACACTGAGCAATGCCTGGTGGTCCAGTTTTTAGGCCCCTGATAATCTAGGTTTAATTTGCAGAGTAGATTTGATCCACCTCTGTAGTGTTTTTGTTTTTCTAAGTTTGCAGATGGCTAGCTAATGTGATAATAGAATAGTTAGAGCATTTCATTTTATTGGATGATGACTGAACAGCACGGTTGCTCTTTGTACATTATTTTATTCCTTAGATCAGAGCTACATCAGCCATTTTCATACACACGTAATTGACTATTCAGACACACTTCTCACCACATGTGCAGGGAAAGCGAATTTAGAAATAAAATCTGCATGTTGCTGTAGAAGGAGAGCTATTAACAGCAGTCTTCATTAGTGAGCTTACCAATTACAAAGACCCAGGGCCAGATTAAGAGCCCAGTGGGCCTGGTGCTGACAATTATGACGGGCCTAATTACAGAATCATATTGACCAAAAACCGTAAAACACTCCCAAGCGTCATGTATCTGATGGAGATGGTGTGGGAGAGAAAGAAAACAGCAGCTATAAGAAAACACATACCCCAGGCTAATATCTCTCTAATTTATGTTTTCATCTTTCAAGTAAATCCATAACCCCTAACAGCAGTGTCCAGTCAAGCAGGAAGTCAATGGGCATGGTAAAAGGGTGTGCCACTGACACAAGTCACGTAACCTGCCAAAAGGGGCGAACATGCCCAAAAAGAGGACATGTCTGCCCAAAGAATTAGAAGGCCAGACTGGCATGAATGCATGTCAGGCTGCCTGCCAATCATGCAGCTGGCCAATTAAGCGCATACTATGCAGAGAGCACCCTGAGCTTGGCATAAATGCATCTAATAATGCGCTCACTCAACGCTTTCTAAGGACTGTCCCCTAGCACTCGCTGGTCCACTTGTCTCCTTACCTTCTTACTAGCAGGCAGAAGCTCCTGGTATATAGTCTGGGACATAGAAAAGCTGTATGTAGTGAGTGTAGAAGAAAGGGAACATGCCACAGTGTTAGAGAGACCAAAGTCAGCATTGCCTTAAAGGATCACTATAGGGTCAGGAACACAAACATGAATTCATGACCCTACAGTGTTAACACCACCATCTAGCCCCCCTGTGCCCCTCATGCCTCCATAAATATAACAAAATCTTACTATATTCAAGCCTGAAGCTGTAACTCTGCATGCTGTTAGACTCACAAAAACAAGCAGTCTGCTGACATCATTAGAAGTGGTGGCCTGATCCAATCACAGTGCTTACCCATAGGATTGGCTGAGACTGACAAAGAGGCAGATCAGAGTCAGAGCCAGCATCATTCAAACACAGCCCTGGCCAATCAGCATCTCCTTATAGAGATGAATTGAATTAATCTCTATGAGGAAAGATCAGTGTCTGCATGCAGAGGGAGGAGACACTGAATGTCTGGATGCATTTTAGGCAGCCATGACCCAGGAAGGATCTCTAACAGCCATCTAAGGAGTGGCCAGTGAAGTTATCACTAGGCTGTAATGTAAAGACTGCATTTTCTCTGAAAAGACAGTGTTTACAGAAAAAAGCCTGACGGTAATGATTCTACTCACCAGAACAAATTCAATAAGCTGTAGTTGTTCTGGTGAGTCTAGTGTCCCTTTATCTATATTCATTGTCAGCCAGTCCACACAAGTTTTGTTCCCATACATCCCTCTTAAGTTTCCATACTTAAGTAAGAGTATGTGAAAAGTAGTTAGGGTTGCCACCTTTCTTGGAAAAACAATTTGCATAATTAAATATGTATGGGTGACATCAAATGATGTAAATCACAAGGAGTGACATAAGAGAATATGCTGTAAAATCACCCAAAAACTATTTAGTTTAAATCTGCTGTATAGATGGATTCCTCTCAGTGCCCCCATGTGTCGATTACTCCAGGTCTCAGTGTTCCTATGTATCAGTGTCTCAGTGCCCCATGTCTCCTAGTGTCGTGTCCCCAGGTCTCCCAGTGATCCTATGTATCACAGTGTCTCAATGCCCCATGTCTCCCTATGTATCCCAGGGTCCCCATGTCAGTAGGACACTAGGAAGATGGGGAGACCTGGAGACACCAGTGACACTGGGAGACTAGGGGACTCTGGCTGGGACACATGGGGACAATGGGAAAATAGGGGACACTTGAAGACATGGGTACACAGACACTAGAGACACTGGTTGAGGGACATGGGGACATTGAGACATGGGGGCACTGGGAGACATAGGGACACTAAGACACCAGGGCCACAGATACTAGGGACACTAGCTTGGAGACATGGGGACATTGTGACACTTTTTGCACTGAGACATGGAGACACTAGGAGACATGGGGACAGTGAGACACTGGCAGACTGGGGGCACTGGGAGACTAGAGGTCATTTGGAGACTAGGGGGCACTGAGACACCAGGGACACTGGCTGGGAGACATGGGGACAGTGTGTCCCCATGTGTCTGTCATAATGTCTCCCAATGTCCCTTAGTGTCTCAGTGTATGTCTCATTGCAGCCTTTCCCCCCCATCCCTTACTTCCCTGAGCTGTAGGCTGTCTCTGCAGGGTGGGAGTTGCTGTCTGGACTCTCTGTAGCTGCGAAAGACCAAGTAAACTCACAGGCTTGTTTAGTTATTTGCATAATTTACCTTAGTACACACTGGTGCTCTACACTATGCTTTATCTATGTCTGTACAGTAACATTCCATTATTTGTCTTTGGTGAAACAGGTGTCTGCTGACTCCAGTTCATCAATGCACTCAGGAGTGATTTTGATCCGGCCCTCTCGTCTTTCATCTAGCGGCTCACCTATGCTGGCTGGAGTCTCTGAATATGAGCTTCCTGAAGATCCTCGATGGGAAGTAGCAAGGGACAGGTGAGAAATCTACTATACTAGGTCATTCTTTGGAATTGTTAATGCTTCCATGTGTGCTAACACTTTATGGCATTGTGCCTTTGCAGGTTGATCCTTGGAAAGCCACTTGGAGAAGGCTGCTTTGGTCAGGTTGTCATGGCAGAAGCCATTGGCTTGGACAAGGAAAAACCCAACAGAATCACTAAAGTTGCTGTAAAGATGCTAAAATGTAAGCAGAGTGTATGAATTCACTTTGTGTTTCCATTTGGGGTCTCTTTCTCATTGTTCTATATAGAGTGTCAGTGAATGAGTGATACTGGCAGTTTTTTAAAATTAAAATGCATTACCTTAAATATTTGCTTATATTTTAAATTTAGCGGATGCTAGTGAGAAGGACCTTTCTGACCTGATTTCTGAGATGGAAATGATGAAAATGATTGGCAAACACAAAAACATTATTAACTTACTTGGAGCCTGCACTCAGGATGGTATGTAGATTCTAGCATTTGACTACATAAAATATGCAGCTTAATATTGTATTTTTTTTATTTTGTTGCTGCGTAGGTTTAATGTTGCTATGATGTAAGCTGTATTTTGTCATTCTTCACATAATGCATATATGCAGGGAAATAGTGGTAGCTGCGGTTACGGAGGTGAAACAAACATGTATTCCTGACACTATAGTGTTGAATCCACCATTTAGGTGAATCCACCCTCTTTCCCCCCTCGCGTTTAGCCCCTTCAGAATGGGTTAAAACTCTCCTTATTTCCAGCTCTCCACGGGTCCGCCGGCACTGGCCATGTCCCCTTGGTGACATCATCAAAATTGCAGATTTTTAGCTAATCTAATGCTTTCCCATGGCTAAAATCGGCAATGGGGCAGGCCCAAAGGCAGTTTTGGCCAATCAGCACCTCATAGAGATTCATTGAATCAGTGCATCTCTATGAATAAAATTCAGCGTCTCCATGCAGAGCGTGGGGACGCTGAACGGCAGGGCTGCTTACTGTGCAGCCCTGAGCCAGGAAGCACCTCCAATGACCATCGGAGGAGTGGCAACTTGGAGGTGCACCCATCATTAATATGCCAGAGATTCATTATTGAACTTGTATGAATTTATTGGAAGTACAGGGAGGCAGAGTAAAACGAGGAAATACTGTTTAATTCCCAGTGTTGAAATTTTGGAGAGACTTGTAGAGTCAAAGCCAGTTTAGTGAATGTAACCTGAAGAGAGCTCTGATCTCTAGAAAAATGTGTTTAACCCTTTCAGAAACATATTGCTATGGTTTGTATTTTGTTTTTGCTTTCTCTTTCTGATTATACACCTGTGTTCTGCTCTTTAAACTGTGTGCAGTCGAAGACTCAATGGCTGTACACCTTCATGGAGTTTCTGGTATCTTTACTAATTCCTCTGTAAAAAAATGATTTGTTGTCAGGTTTTTCTTTAGATGTATTTCACGATAGAAACTGCTGGCTGTTAATCACATGTCGAATTTTTAAATTTGATTGATATCCTGTCTGACTCACAGGTCCTCTCTATGTAATTGTGGAATACGCCTCCAAGGGCAATCTGCGTGAATACTTACGTGCACGGCGCCCTCCTGGGATGGAGTACTGCTACAACCCCAGCTGTGCTCCCAATGAGCAGCTGAGCTTTAAGGATCTGGTCTCCTGTGCCTACCAGGTGGCACGTGGCATGGAATACCTTGCCTCTAAAAAGGTAGCCTTTTTGTTTTGTCATCACTTTTACTATAAATTTGTACATATAATTTAAAATTTATTTAGTCTTGTATTTTTACATATATTTAATGATGTGCTGTACTGTAAATGTCTCCTGTCTCTTGTCAGTGTATCCACAGAGACCTGGCTGCAAGAAATGTTTTGGTGACAGAAGATAATGTGATGAAAATTGCTGATTTTGGTCTTGCTCGAGATATTCACCACATAGACTATTACAAGAAGACCACCAATGTAAGAGTTTGACCTTGTTCAATATCATTGTTCCGTGTGTCAAACTGCCCATGCCATTATGATATTTTAGGTTTATAAGCAGCATCTGATTTTAAGTAAGATGTTTTGTCTAGTGCTGTGGTCAGATGGAAGAGCTTCTTGCAAATCAACCATCCGTGAAAATCTCTTAACTTGTTTAGTCCATTTGCAAAAAAACAAACCAACAAATATTTATTTCTGTACAACATAGGTGACCTGTTTTGTAGTTTTACTTTGTAACCTCTGTGTGACAAAGACAATTTGTGTCTTTAGTTGCGGATTTAGCTTTAGTACCCCATATATTCATATTACAGAAATGGGCTTATGTATATTCATATAGAGTTCTGTGTAAAGTATTCAGACACCAACAGTAACCTTAGTGCAGACATAATATTGGTCTTGCAGATCTAGAACATTATCAGTCCATATTCCTGTTTTCATTAAACACCTTCTCACATTCTATATGCACATATCCCATGTGTTCTCAGTGTCTTTTTAAAAGGGGAAAAGGTTTTACGTAAAGACACTGGATAATGCTGCAAAAAGTCACATTGCATTTTGGACTTTTTTTTCTTCCAGGGTCGGCTACCTGTAAAATGGATGGCACCTGAAGCCCTTTTTGACAGAATTTACACCCATCACAGTGATGTGTAAGTGTGTGTATGTATGTGTGGGTATATTGTAAATGGTGTCTAACAAATTTGCATCCCTCCAATATTTCAACTTTAATTAGTTTTTTGAGAGTGGGGTTTGTGGTTAGGGACACATTTGTTTTTAGACCTCACAACCTAATTTTCTTATTCTTAAAGGACAACTATAGTGCCAGGAAAACATACTCGTTTTCCTGGCACTGTAGTGCCCTGAGGGTGCCCCGACCCTCAGGGTCCCCCTCCCGCCCGGCTCTGGAAAGGGGTAAGGGGTAAAAACTTACCTTTTTCCAGCGCTGGGCGGGGAGCTATCCTCCTCCGTTCCTCCCCGTCGGCTGAATGCACACGTTGTCATAGACTGCATGTTGCAATACGTGCCTGAAGTCACCCCTTGTGCATTCTCTGTAAGATCACTTTCCACCATTGTGGCAGAACTACTACTCGTACGTGTGTTTTGCCTTTTTTCCATTTGGGAGTACTTCATACGAACAAAGTCCATTTGTCTCCTGAACAGGGACCGCCCCTGTACCCCATCATAACGTTCACATCAGTAACTTAAATGCAAAAAATTGTAAAAACCATAAGGGAAATAATTAATGAATGCTCCATCTTGTCTCCCAAACGTGGGCAGCGGGACTTGGTCGTCAAGTGCCTGGAACTCTTTTTTTCAGCTAGGCACTCGCATGAACCCCGGTAAAACATAGACCGCTGCCCGTTCTATTTCCCAACCACCTACATGAACAATGTTCGGGAGATATGAACTACTGAACAGGGGGAGCATTCGTATCCCGAAATAAAACTAATGCCTATCTTGGTTTCTGCACCAATCCGAGTGATTCTTGGATATGTTGTACATTTAGATCGGGGCTATCGGGGAAATGTACTTTTTGTGGGGTTCCTGAGTATGATGGGGGCACATTTGAGGTACTGTATATTTTGTTGGGTTTTCTGTACCTGAGAGATTAGAGACTTTTTCTCATGCAATTGTTGCTCCGGCACAGAGGATCCTGGGATTGAAACCCCTGTTTTCTTGTATTGTAAACTCCATGTAGGGGACTGGGCATAAAAGCCATGTGTGTGTTCCAATAAATAGCAGTTGAGTCCCAGAACTATGTTTCGTCTGGTTACTGGGGGAATGGGTATTTACTTGTGCTGATGGTTCCAGAGTGGCTAAAGGAAAGTAATAGCGGAGGTAACAAGTCGCGTTACCTGTGGTCCGCTACAACCATCTTTTTAGAATCTTCATGTTCTCGCTCTTTATTCTTACTTGTATGTGAGAAGAGAACAGTGATGTGAGGGGTGATGCAGTGCAAGAGTTGCCTGTTTAGAAGACCTAGCTTGCAAGGTGGCATTATGAGGAGTATGCAGTAAAATATTTTGTTGCATGTTCAAAAAGTAGGGTAAGCTGTCACGTGTGTTTTTTGTTTTATATCTACTAAATTTATTTTATCACCGACAGATGATGCATCATGCTAATGATTTTTTACAATTTTTTTCAGCTGGTCATTTGGGGTACTCTTATGGGAGATTTTCACTCTTGGAGGCTCCCCTTATCCAGGAGTCCCAATGGAAGAACTTTTTAAGTTACTAAAAGAAGGGCATAGGATGGACAAACCCACAAACTGCACCAATGAGTTGTAAGTATAGAACACTTGACTAACTTTCCTACAGTAAAATGTGCGGTTTTAATTACGGGAAACACTGCTTCACGTTAGTCTATGTAACGGGAGGATTGTAAGATTTTTTTCATAACTCATTACCAGGTACATGATGATGAGGGATTGCTGGCATGCTGTCCCCTGTCAGAGACCAACCTTTGTACAGCTGGTCGAAGATCTGGACCGCATTGTGGCTCTAAGCTCCAACCAGGTATGCACAGCAGTCTGGGGATAATTTGCAAACAAATTTCACTTAAAATTTTCCATAATAAATTACGGTTTTAATAACTATACTTACTGTGCCTGCAAACGTAAATGTTACAATATCAACTCTCTCTGCAGGAATACCTTGATCTCTCCATGCCAGTGAATCAGTATTCTCCATGTTTCCCGGACACCAGAAGCTCCACTTGTTCCTCGGGGGAGGATTCTGTGTTTTCCCATGACCCTTTACCAGATGAACCCTGTCTTCCCAAATATGCCAATGGAGGATTAAAAAAACGCTGACCTTGGGAGTTCTATAAAATGACACTTGCCTTTTTTTTTTATCCACTCCTGAAAGTCAAGTTTGAGAACATTTTAGTTTCAAGCATTCCGAAAATTACTACCACTTCCAAAATTCCAAGCACTGCGATATAATTCTGTTCTTGATTATAGAGGGCAAAGCTTTCCATGATCCATTTTTAGTTTCCATTCCCATCTACGTTATGACACCCCTTGGATTTTTTTTTTTTTTTTTAAATACTGAAGTATTGTTACTTGGCCCTCTTCGGGTAAGAGATTTCAGCTCAACCTATGACATTTGGATATGGAAGTGTAATGATGATGTTAATCAAATGGAGTATCAAGACACGAATCTTCCTCATTTTACCGTAACCGTTCTTCCTGCATCTCATTTACCTTCAAAGAATACACTATCGGCTGACGTTGGTACACTCCAAATAAGTATCGTTTCGGATTTATTCTAAACACATGTAATTCATTTAGTAGAGAATCCAATAAAAATGAACATTTACCTTGGATTCTGGAACTCCAAATATGTCATCTCAAACCTGGATTACATCTTGGTTGTTCTCCAAAGTAACCTCAACAATTCTGATTTTTCTACAAGAGATTTGCTCAGTTGGGTGAACTGTATCAGCGATGCAGGCATCTTAAGCTAAGACCACATACCTGTTCATTTTTTATTTTATTTTTTTATTTTAAACTGTGACTGTCCTAATCAATGGTCACCTAGAAGTCTTAATATATTAAAGGAATATTTTAATGCACCTACATGTAGGCATCATAAAGGACAATTCAGAGATAAAGCAGACTGATTTTATTCAGTAAATTTTAAGCACTCTGTTGACCAATCAGCGGTACGAAGAATATGCCATTCCCATGTTTTCTAGAGTATTTGACTCTGACCTGTTCTTTGCTCTTATTCAAAAGCTTCCTGGCAAAATAGAGTCCATTAACACAATTAAAGACTTTGCGCTGCAACCACAGTCGGTTTTAACAAATACATTTTTTGAATCAAATGGTCTTGAAAACTTTGGAGATCTTGGTATGTTTTAATTCTCATTTATAGTGGAAAATAAACATGGGCAGAGTACCAATTAATGCTTTTCTTGTGTATATAGCTAGAAATTGTATAAATATGAATTATATATTTACATGTCTTTTTAAGAAAAATGTTACAAAATATATACCAGTTTGGTAGTAAAATGGCTGGTAATTCAGTTGCTATAAACAAAAAATCATATATTTTGCTACGTTTTCAGTTTGTATTTTTTTAAATTATGTTCTAAAACCTTTCATATTCCCAGTAAAAGTCCCTAAATAAAAAAACAAAAAACAGATCGCTGAAGTTGACTTAAATTTTTATACAATTGAACGTTTTAGAATTGTGTTTAAGGGGGGAGGGTGACTCCCAGTCACACACTTTTTTAGAATTGTTAAATGTTTTGAGCTTTTATTTAAACCATTAACCTCATACATACTCTATTCTTTATTTGCTATTATATTTCATTTATCTTTCATACTCTGCCTATCTGTCTCTTGTCTTTCCCCCTCTTCTAATGTCCTTTTTTTTTTTTTTGTCATTCCTGTTTTCCTTGCGCTCTTCTCCACCATTCTACCGTATTTTTTTTCATCCCTCCCTTAGTTAATGCAACTGAACCATCATCCCGGCTTTCTTTGTTCATTGTTCTCATCATTCATCTATGACCACCTCTCCCTTTCGTCTCCACCAAAATGTCTACCTTTTATAATGAAATCAAATGTTTGTTAGAAAATCTGTCAAATCTCTTGCTTTTATATGTACATTTATTAATGAAATATTGCACATTTTGCATGTTTGTTTTGTATTTAAACATGTCCTCCACTTGTATGTAGAAAGTGACTGAGCAGCAGCAGGATGTAACCCTACTATAAAGGTGCATGACCGATACTGCCTGATCGTACCTAGAGGTTCTAATCGGCGATCTGTAACCATGCTTGTTCACCTTCTATCTTGAGACATGACAGCTTGTCTCCAACATTTTGAGGAACATGGGTAGCCTGACGGGCGTAAAAGCAACTGCATCTGACTAGTAGGATACATAACACCATTATATATACTTTAGAATCCCAAGTTCTTTTCCTTAATTCCCCTGACATCTGCAATAGGATGGAGTAAAAACCCAGTAGGATAAGAAGAAAAAAAAAAGTTTTATCTTGTGAAGCAATATTCTGTTTAGTTTAATAAAGGGCATGCTGGTTTATACTCCTAATCCTATACTGCTTCTCCCAGTAAGAGTGGTTTCATATCCATAAAGAACACTCAAGACTGATATCTGTGTACTACCTGCCTTGCTACATATTTAAAAGTTGCCATTTACAATTGGTATCAGGTGAACCTTTAATGGGCAGCTATATCAAGCTTCTGCTGCTTGGTATGTTTCATACATGAGAAGACTTACCCTGTCATAGGATGAAGTGCTGAAAGGATTAAATAATGAGTAATGCATGTGGTCACAAGTGACAGAGATGGAGCTGGCCAAAATGAAATCTGGTTGCACAATTGTAATGAATCCACAATCTAGAGCATGGACAGAAGTGATTGTGAAACCCTTTTGGGTGGAGAATTTATCATTTGACAAAGTTGTCACAATGAGTGGTGAATGCATGACCTTGCATCTTTAACCCCTTAAGGACACATGACGTGTGACATGTCATGATTCCCTTTTATTCCAGAAGTTTGGTCCTTAAGGGGTTAAACGATCTGCTGCTTGTATGTTTTCAAGACAAAGGTTTCACATGCAATGATATTGGATACTGTTTTGATCATATAAAAAGTTCTATATGCTGACACTAATGAAACTACAAAACTGTAAAGTTGGAAAGCTTCCTACTTGTACATATGCTCAATCTGCTTGTAAGTTTCCTATTTCAGGAATAATCTTTAAACTCCTTAAAGAGTCAGAAACCAGAGTAAAGTCCTTCATTCATAAAGTCATTCGAGATTTTTATTTTTTGTTTTTTGTTTTACACATAATGTAACTAATGATGCATAATTTCCACTTTTATCGCAATATATCTTTTTAGTATAAATAATATCCGGCTTCTTTGGGTCAGATGATTGTAAAGTCTATACAGAGGAAATTCCTACTTTTGAAATCCATTTTATAAACTAAAAGCCAAGAATAACCTTATCATACAAATGGAAAATGTAATTATTATGTATATAAATAGCAACAACCTCATGTTTAGCAGTGGTGCAGAAAATAAGTTTCCTAATGTTTAATATAAGGACTGTTGATCAGGTAGTGGGTACAAGAAAAGATGAGGTGTATATTTTCCGTGATCTAATGAGGTTTGAGTCATTGAGTCGTCAATGGCGTCCTCTGGAAATTGCAGACATACGTTTTTTTCCAGTCTCAATGAGGCTGTTGATGGTCTGCACAACACAATAAATATCAGGCGCTGACAAAATCTTAAAGCAAAATGTGGTTTGTATTGATCTTTAATTGTGAATGTCCTTACAAAATGATCTAGGTACATAGCCTCTTGGAAACTGTTCTACAGTAATATAAACATTGCACATTTTACTTTATGCGGCCAACTAAACATTTTCTTTTGTCTTAACCTGAAACCAAAAGTGAGTAAGAATCACTTGGTAAGGATTTAAAAAGCTGGAGAACTTCAAATCATCTGCTGTGTGGGGACAGCATTCATGGCTTTCTAGCATAATGACTGAAAGCTAGAATTGTTGGGGCAACTGAAATACCTTGATCAGTGTCTAAGGTTGGAGTTTCATTCATTGTATAGAGATGGGTGAATTTAACTTGAAAAATACAATGCGTGAATGAGATAAAAACATGAAACCTTAAAATAAAATATATACTGTATATTTTATATCCATTATTCTCTGCCTCAGCACATTAAATAAAGTGTAAATTGTCTGGAATTTAAACTGAATTTAAAATTTAAGGCTGAAATAGACAGTTTGGAAGTTTTTTGGCTGTTTCCAGTGTCACTGTTTTAGCCGAAAAATGTAAATTCACTCTTCAGTAATTAAACTGGACCGTGATCTTGAACGTCCTCTTACTATTTTCTATTATCCTTGTATCTGTCTATTTTACTCTGGCACCTCTTTACCACATTGCTCTATGTCCCTGGTAGATGGTAGTCTCTCGGCTAACAACTTTGCAGCAATATTTATTGCGTTTCAGGATGTTACCTTTCCATAGGAATAGAGCTCAGGCTTGCTGTGTGGGATCAGTCCTTCTGCAACAACATTCACTGTAATTTTTGGTGTATGTTTGTAGATCACAGCTCTGCAGCATTGAAATTTATGGTAATATACACTGTGTGATCCTTTCAGAAGCCAATGGCAATAAATCTGTGATGTGGAATGTATATGAATATAATAAAGCTCTGCAGTAGTAATGGTCTCCGTATTAGGTGTGTGAGAACATCTGAGATTTAAAAAAAAAATTAAAAATAAATTTTATATATAATAAATGTGTATCTCAAATGTGCACTGTCAGAGCACCAAAGCAACTATGATGCACATTAAAGTGCATTATGTAGGGGTTTTATAGAGCTTGACTGACCCAGTTCTCTCCTCCCCTTATTTATCTTCAATCTTTCTTATAATCAGTGGTGAGAAAGTAGAAATACTGCCCCCTTGTGGTGTGCATTGCTTTAATAGAGAATGGCCCAGGGGTAAGCTGGGGTACTTATCACACTCAGATAAGTGGGAAGGTTTTCAGTGTAATTCACAATGTGGTGTGAATTTAAAGTGATTTTCCACATTTCAGGCCAGAGTAGCTGATCTGAAAACATAGCTGGAATTTTAACAATTTGGCTATTTTGGTCTGAAATGTGAAATTTAGCTGCAGCAGAAAGACCAAACTCTAAACTGCACTCACTGTTTTAATCTGTTAAGCCTTCAAAGACTGGTGTACAAATCCTTATATTGAGCCATCGGTATGGTGCTTAAAGTGTCCCTTTAAGGTCTCATTATTCAAATACTCTGACAGGCAGAATTGTTGCTAGGGTCAAAAAAAAAAAAACTATACTTGGGGCATGGTAAAACAAACTCTCAAAAGCCTCAGATGTGGTTCCTCCCAAAACCCTGCCCTTTACATCTGAGATATATATATATATATATATATATAACGTACTTACTTGTATACGGACAAACACACTTCTCTCCCAACTGTCCTTGTTGCACAACACTCAGATACACTTCACTGCCCTGGCTGGAGGTGCAGACATGCTGCTTCTCCCACTGGACCATGAGGGACCTGGATTCTCCTCCTCTCTGGCCCAAGGTAAGCTTCAGGGATGGGGGAATAAGTTTTAGTTTTGGTTTAAAACAAATGTTTCCCACACTACAATGCAACACAACAAGCAGCCACCCCCATACACACAACCCCACAAGCGGTATTCTAACAAACATGCAGCTTCCAAAAATGTGTACACATTCTGTTCCAGCCCCCTCCCACATATCATATCCAATCACCAACCTATTCACACACTGACCTTAGATAGGACTGTGCTTTCTGCCTGCCAGCATATTTACTTACAGGGTGGCTAAAATGGCAACAAATAAATGTGTATTTGAGTGCGTGTCATTGTCCTTGTGTGTTTTTACATTTTGTGACTTTTATACTTAATACACTCCTTACACAATATTTAGTGTTGCATTTATTTTTAAAATATTCTTTACTACCATTAATTATTATTCATAAAATGCCAACAAATTCCGTAGCGCTGTACAATGGGTGGACTAACATACATATTCTTGTAACCAGAGTTGGACAAACTGGAACAGAGAAGGTTGAGGGCCCTGCTCAAATGGGCTTACATGCTAGAGGGAGTGGGGTATAAGGTCACAAAATGTAAGGCTAGGCTAGAAAAGTGGCTAGAATAATATTCACCGAGGGCTTGCTTTTTATTTTTTTTAGTATGACAGTTTCCGAGTAGTATTTAGGGTGCAGGAGGGAAAGTTATTAACAATTTACTTGGTATGTGTTCCTAAAGAAGTGTTTTCAATGATTTTTTTTTCATTTTATTTATATAGAAATGGAGGCTGAGTGAAAGTGTGATGGAGAAGGGGAGTTTCACAGGAACAGTGCAGCACTAGAGAAGTCTAGAAGGTGAGCATCAGAGGTGTGAGTACGAACAGAATATAGACGTAGGTCTTCAGCATAGGGGCCTAGACGGGACGTGTATCAGGGAAGATAAATTGGTTGGATCAGCATTATGTAGCGATTTTGTAAGAAAGTGCCAGAATTTTAAATTGAGCCCTAAATCTCCCAATGTAGGGACAGACAGTGGTGGGAGGTGCAGGCGGACAGAAGATGAGCATTGCCACTTCATTCATTATAGACTGTAGCGGGGAAAGTTGGGAACACGACCACTGAGAAGTGGATTGTAGTAAAGGCGAGAGGATAGTGGCATGAACCAGAACCGTGGCTACATCCAGCATGTAATAGG